CCCCGCGCCGCCCCCGCCCCGCCCGCCGCGCGCCGGAGACTGGAGCGGCGACGCGCGGGGCGGGCGCCGCCCGGCCGCGGCCGCCTCCCGCGCGACGTGGTTCCTTACGTCGGGGACGGAGGCGGGGAGCGGCGCGGACCAGCGAAGCGAAAGCCCCAGCGCTGGCCCGGCCCGGCCCGGCCCGGCCCGGCGCGCGTCGGCACAGGAGGAGGTGTCCCCGCGCCGGGCGGGGATCGTCGTCCGGGAACCAGCAGCGCTGCCCGACGCTGATTCGCGCGACGCTGGGGCCTCAGACCGGCAAGACGAGGGGCGGCAGCGCCTCTAAGCGTGTGCAGAGTGGCTTTCGCCTCTTGCTTAGCGCTCAGGCGTGCGCGCTTCCAAGGGGGAAGAGAGTTGGCCCTCGCAGGCATTGCCTCCGCAGCTGTGCGGGACGGCGCCCCACCTCCCCTAGCGAGGAGCCGCGGATCCCACACGGCTGGGGAACGGCATGCCTGCGGAGGCCGCTCGGACTTTTCCGCGATGCCTCCCTGCCGGCCATCCAGGGGGCGGCACAACTGGAGTTAAGAACGGAGACTGACAGGAGAAAGCGAAAGAGCGTAACTTTCAGGCAGCGCCTCAGAACGTGTGCAGAGCGGCTTCCTTCCCCGGCCACTGAAGAGACACCAGATGCTCAGAGCCGAGTCATGCTTCCCCGAAGAGCAGCGGCTCTGGGGAAACCAACAGCCCGCCCCGGACACCTAATTTTAGCAAAGAATCGGCCTGGGTGCAGCGCGGCTGGCCTCAGGCCGGAGCTGCGGTGCACAACCAATGGGGGACGGAGCCATGTGACGCGTTCCGCATTTCCTGCACGGAAGAGCCGGCGGGGGCATCCTCCTGCGCCAGCCACATGTTGACCCCGTAAGCCGTCCTGAGCGGTGAAAGCGCTCTTCAGCCAGGTACGCCAGGCGATGGAGCAGGCAGGCAAAAGTTCCACTCGCGAAAGCCTTCCGGGGCTTTTCTTTCCCCGTGCGCCCACAATGGCCCCTTGGGATTCACAGGAGACAATGTGTCAAAGGAGAGGCTGGGTAGCTTCGGGCAAACCAGGGAATTCGGTGTATCAGCTTGAAGATGAGGTGTTGTTTCCTGGTTTGAAAGTTTCATTCTGAACCTGTAGTGCTGCTGTTCCCTAGCAGAGGCCGTTTGGACGGCTGGTCCACGAGAGCTGGAGCCCCCTTTTTCATGTGGAGACCTGAACTGGTCCAGGGGCACAAGCTGAAGTGGAAGTACAGTTGCCCTGTTGCATCTCATCCCACTGAATTAGCTGGTTTTTCCACACACTTGGCTTCACCTCCTCCCGCCGCAGCCTTGGCTCTGTGTGCCCAAAGGTGTTTTTTCTCTGAACTCAAATGCCCTCTTCTTCTCTGTCCACACATCCTTTTTAGCAAATGGGGGAGACCTACAAAGACACACACACGGGGGGGGGGGGGGACTGTCAGGCATGTGTAAATTAGCCTATGCAAGTGTATGTATTTGTCCTGTGGGACTGATCCCTGGAACTGTTCTGTACTTGCAGCACCCGTTTCCTGGAAAGAACATAGCAATATATATAGTGATAATTCCAAAATCCTCATTAGTGTAAAATTTTTAATGAACCAAAAGATCACCCCAAATGTACAACCTTTCCAATCTACTAGCCCCAGCAAGGTGTTCCTCAGTGAGGTCTGCTGTGGCAGGAGACACCAAGGAACGGGTCTTTGATGGTGAAATCACAGTGTGTGTTTGCTTTTCGTTATACCTTGAGATCTTGAAAGCTTTGGTGTCTTTGGTGATCTTTTGGCTGGTATAATAAAGACGTTGCCCCAGTGTGAAACTTTCTTACATTCATGAGCTTGTCAAGCATTAGCAGAATACAACCTTCTAGAGCTAGGATAGTGTGGCAGTCACATCACTGGGCTGGGGACTCAAGAGGTCTGGGTTCCAGTCCCCACTCGGCCATGAAGTCCCTTGGGTAACTTTGGGCCAGTCACTCTCAGCCAAACTTACCTTGCAGGGTTGTTGTGAGGATCAAATGCTGCTAGGTAAGCTGTCTTGAGTTCCTGCCTAGAGGAAAAAGGGTGGGATACAAGAGCAACATAATAATAATACTGCTATTTATGACTGGCATCCCATGTTCGGCCGACAAAGAGGAGACCCTCTGGAACAAACATGCATGTCTACATAGGACGAGCATTGGTACTACCGTTCCCTGTACTCTTTTCCATCCCTGGAGACATTTCCAGATGTTCCAAAAGAGACTGCATTCTACTTATTCATATGAATGAAGTGATCTGGGGATCAGCGAAGTCGGGAAAGTACCAGATGTGCAAGAAGCAACTGCGAAGGACCCCATTCAGGAAGGACTGCAGTAAGAGTTGCACAACATGCCAACAGGGAAGACAAGAAGGGTGTGCAATGAACTTGCATTCAGTGGTCATAGTCGTACAACCTTGACAGTGGTGGTAGTGATTGTGTCCTAAAACCAAAGTCTGCATTCACTAAGGACAAAAGGTCACAGCCTCTTGTCTTATCCTGAAAATCTAACCGTGCCTCTTCTCCAGTAACTCCAGAGCAGCCTGGGGAGAAACCCCTTGGCAAAGTAGAGTTACTGAGTAGTAGAGCTGGAAGGGGCCCAAAGGCCTTGGGGTTGAACCCCCTGCTATTGCAGGACACTAAGCTACACTATCCCACTCAGATGGCTATCCAGATGCTTTTTGAATGTTTTGAAAATGATGCTTTTTGAGAGCCGACAGTTTCTCCAGGTAGTAGGTTCCATTGTTGTACTGCTCTGGCAGTGAGGCAATTCTTCCTGATGTCTAGTCTAAATCTGGTTTCTTTCCATTTTTCTGTGTCCTGCACTCTGGAATGAACAAGAGCTCCTGTCCGTTCTCTTCACAACTGCTATTCGGGTACTTGTAGAGTGCTTCTCTCCTTGAGGCTGGAGAAGATGCCCGGTTCTCTCAGTCTTTCCTCAAAGGGCTTTGCCACCAGTCTCCGGATCATCCTTGTTCCCTATCCACTGAAAGCATGTTCATTGTCAATTAACATGGGCTTGGTTCTTTGCAAAGTAAGGATAAGACTGGTCCCCAGAAAGCATGCTTTTAAGTAGGTATGACATCCCCTCTATTGCAGAGGTGTTGAACCACTTTCAGCCTGAGAGCAAAATTTAATTGCAGAGCCGTAGGCAAAAGGGGACAGGAGCAAAATACTACAAAGAATTTAAAGGTGCAGTCCTGTGCATCGTTGGGATTTTTTTGTGTCTAACCGTGCATCTGATCAGTCAGTAGCTAACCCTGTGGAAAAATATTTCATTATTTGCATGAGGGAAGGAATTCACAAAAGACAGGAAAACCCCAACCCTGAGATTCCTCAGCCTTGCCTTAAAGCAAGCTTGGGCAGCTGAATGCATGTCCCTTTAGAAGCAAAATGGTCCCCATCTCCCAGCAAAGGTAACAGTTCCCAAATTGTGCAGCAGCATGTTTGTAAATTAAGTAAAAGAATGGGGGAGGGAATCGCAAAGTCTCACAGGGCCTACCAAATGCTGCAGCGCTGTTGAGGAGTCAACAAAGGAAACTGGTGGTGGAGGGGAAAGGATGGTAGACCCTAACAACCTATAGCAGCAACATGTGTTGGCCTACAAATCCCACCATCCCCAGCCAGCAGGATAAATTCGGAGGGTGCCACATCAGAGAAATTTGACTTATATTAAATTATATTAAACGTGCTGGAGATGGTAGGAGTTAGGGGAAGTCCAGAGTCCCCAAGTGAGACTCAAGTCTCACAGTAGGCAGTGAAAATTGCTTCTGAGTAAGTGTGTGTCTCATGAGGCTGTTCTACATGCGTTCAGGACTCAGCTCCAGCCGAGACCTGGATGCCTGGCTCAGCCGGGGGGTCAGCAGAGGGATCTAGACCACAGCCCCTTCCGAGTCATGCTAGTTACGCCAAATGCCTTTGCCACGGTTGGGGGCCCTACTGAATACGGCACGGTTTCCATTGTGTTGAAAATGTGATCTTGTGTCACGCACCAATGCAAGCGCAAGAGAAATGGAAATCTGGGAAGCAGGTAAGTGCAAAGAAACGGCCCTTTTTAAAAAAAAAGTATCCATGATGTGCATGTCGACTGGTACAAAGCAGCAAAGGTTTTAAAAAGAAAAGAACCTTTCCTTCCTGAAAGCTAAAGCAACCCCCTTCTTCTCCCCTGTCATGACATTCTCAGAAGAGCTATTGAAGGCAGTGTGGTTTACTTCTGAGTAGACATGGATGTGGCACTTTCCAGCTAGTCATTCTTCACCCAGCATTTGAAGCAATGTGAGAAGTTTCTCTTACTCAGATTCACACCTCTATACATGCACATTAGTAAACCGTTTTGCTAATGATTAGCCCCTCCCCCAGCCCCGAGAAGCCCCTCCTTTTCCTCCCCCCTCCCAGAACAAGTTTAGCACACAGTGGAATATGTAAATTTAATTGGGCAAAAAATGTTTAAAAAGTCATGATTTAACTGGTCTGAAGACATCTTGGATATAAAGTACATTAGCAAATGCATATCATGTGATTCACAAGTGAATCAGGCATTCCATGGCTAGTCAAAATTATTACTGCATATCCCCCTGGAGTTATGTGACCAGTGCCTTTGAGCACATGCAGAATGCTCTTCTGTTGCTACTTCCTCGTCATGAACTTCTCCCATACATTGAGGATTAGATGAAGCGATTTCATATCAGAGACAACTCAGACAGAAAGCTTTTTCTTCTAGACTCTGTGGGTAGGTTAAAATCAGTAGTGAAAGGAACTATTCTGTCGACACCCCCCCCCCTCTCTCACACACACACAGAACACACAAAGAGCTATTCTGATACTCCAAACCAGGGGCAGGGAGAAGATAAACCGAAGTCCGCTTCGGATTTCCAAGAGATCTTCAGCAGGTTTATTTCACTAACAGCAACAGAAAGGTGGTAGGTCCTATAAATTATTGTGCAGAGATGAATAACACAGAGAGAGTTTTCAACATTTATTTTTGGCATTCATGTACCACCTTTCAGAGCAAAGCCATTCCAAGGTGCTTCATTCAGCTGTGCCTTTAATAACCTTTGCAAAACTAAGTCTAAAAGCACTAAACTTCTCAGCAGAGCAAACTGCACGAACAGTTAAAAACAGCAAAAGAATTCTAGAAAGAAATGCTTAACAGATCAAAACAGAATGTTTTCAAGGCATGTCTGAAAGCTAATAAAGGGGGATCCAAAGAGAACTTGGGACTTTCCAGAAATATGGGGCCGCTGCTGAAAAGACTCTGACTCTAGTGCCAACTCAGCTGATACTGGGACCAGGCCTGGGAAAAAAAATCTTGAGGCAGGAGCAGGTGGTGCTTCTAATAATTTGTGTGCATCTACACTGTGAGTCCAGACTGGAGTTTACAAGAGCCGAGCAGGGCTCTCAGACGGCATTTTGGAGGACGTGCATTCGTAGGGTGGCGATAGGGCGGTGAATACTGGACGGCACATAGCAGCAGCACCCCGACCGCACGCCCAGCCCCAGAGCGCCCAGCGCGCAGGGAGGGCGGGATGGCGGCGGAGCCGTCCCTCGTCGCCCCGCCTCCGGGGCCGGCTCGCCCGCCGCAGCCAGCCGGGATTCCGGGGCGGAGTCGGCGCCCGGTCGCTGCAGTCGCGGCGCGCCATGGAGAGCTCCGAGGAGGACGAGGCGGCGGCCGAGCCGGAGTGGCTTTTCCCGCAGGCCAGCGGCGAGCCTTGGAGGCGTTCTCGTGCTGCTTGGCAAAGAGCCCCGTGTAAATACGAGCGGACGAGCAGGGCTCCTCCCCGCCTTCCCACCCCCGTCCCCTTCCACCGAGATCGGCGCGAAGCGGCCCGGAAACCAGCCCGCCACTCTGGTTAAGAGTCAGAAGCCGCTTCCCCTGCTCCTGTTGTGCTTGGTGAACATGGGGCTCCGCGGGGCTGGCATGGGATTAAGGCCGGCGGGACTCGATCGTCACTTACGTTAGGAAAAGAGGCAGGGAATGGATGCTAGAACAGGCAACACGGGATAAGAGGTCGTCGGAATACGGGGCGCTGTGGCGGGCTTTAAGATACGGTGGCGTGTCTCTTAATTTTTGGATGCAGGACCTCGCTTTTAAACTTCATGTACCTTCTGCCCTCAGCTATAGAAGAAAGTCGTTAAGGCTGCAAATTGATATGCACTTTTACCTGGGAGTAACTCCCACTGGATTGAGTGGAGAATACTTCTGAGTAGGCATGCATAAGATTGCACTGTAAATTTGTATGTGGCATCTATGCCTTTTTAAAGTATTAGTCTAAAGTGGGTGCAGGGACCCCAATCCAGACTGGGATTTAACATGAGTGGTGGCGTGTTCGCGATCCAGAGTGGGCTCCCGTGCCTCCTCTAGAAAAAATGCCAAGAAGGCACGGCTGCCAGGCGCACTTTGGCAGTCATGTCTGTTTAGGTCCTAAGTTGGTCTGCACCAGTGTGCACCGAGTTGGCTTGTGTTCTGTGGCACACAGAGTGGAGACAGAGGAGCCAAATGGGGTTGCCGTGGCCACTCTCCAAGCCAGGCAGAGGGTGAAGTGGTGGGAGGAAGCAGCAAACATTGGGGAAAATATAGAAGCAGCCCCCAGGTGCTCACGTAAATCCATTCACGTCCTTTGCAGAGGACAACATCCTTCCCTCCTTAGAAGTTTGCACCCTTAGCTTGACTGTTGCGCCGAAGGGTTGCTCTGCTTTTTGAAACTCTGAAGCCGTAGCACATCCCCCCATGGAATGGAGTGGGACGAGTCTCCAGGTCGCTTGTTTCCATTCATTAGCTGTGCACATGTCCAAATTGGAGCTCAAGCAGGGAATTAAAATTGGGACCTAGAGGTGAGGCATCCCTGCCCTCCAAGGTAAACTTTGGGCTCTCCCCCACAATTGCCTCTGTTGGAAACTATCATTTTTGCTCAGTGCACATGCGTGTGCGATGACCACAGATGGCAAGCAGAAATAAGAACAGGTGAGGTGACCCCAAGAGAGCCTTATGGCTATGGGGCAGGTTAGAAAATTAATAAATAAATAACAGCACTCCAAATGATACTCACACTTCCAGGAATATGTTCTCCATGAGAGGAGATTAACTTTTGCCTGACCCAACAATTGAAGAGCCGAGACCTCCAATTTTGGTGATGTAATATTATGGGGTAGTCCAAATTTTATTTTGGAGTGCACAGCCTTATTTATCTATTTACTATAGTTTTAAACTGCCCACTTGGATTTTTTTTTGGGGGGGGGGGGAGTCAACCTGTCCTGCGGGTGCTAATTAACTAAACACTCTTGGTATTTTTAAAAGGAATTTTAAATGTTACATGGAATTATTCTTAAAACATTTTTACATGGAAGGGTCTTAGAAATTGCATGCAATAGAACCTGTAAAGTTCATTTTGATAGTATTGCCCCCTCCTTTTGTTGTCTGGCAACAGGTTCAGTATCCATTGGTGATTAGGCAGCTGTGCAGAGTTGCTTTCATTGGAATAGTGGTTTGGGAACTCTGTGTGTCCCAATTTGCCATTCCCCCATCCATTGCTCTCATGTCATTAAACACACACTTAGCAAGAGGAAACCCACCATCGCCACTAGTACCATTTATGTCTGTGCCAAGAAAAACTTCTTTTTCCTGTAGTGTGGCTTCCTGCTCTTACAAGCAGAGAAGGAAATCCCATAAAACAGTAGCAACGTCAGTTACATCTGGTAGCTTGTAAAATGCTACATTCTTCTTGCAGCTCACCATCGTGACAAAATGGTATCAGCAGCGCATGCTAAGCACCGAATCATTGTGCACCTGGACCTGGATTGTTTTTATGCGCAGGTGGAAATGATCTGCAATCCTGCATTAAGAGGCAAACCATTAGGTGACTGTACATTTTGTTTTTGAACACTCTTCAAGATGTGCATTTAAACTAGGGCTGGATCAAAATCCTTTGTTCCCCCAGTGGAAGGACACCTTCCACTGGTGAAATGAAGGACCTGGATCGAACCCTGTGGCTGTGCTTGCATTCTCTAATTCTTTTCTTTTGGAAATCAGTGGTAAGTAATTTAGAGTTCCATCTAAATCAAGAAAACAGTACTTGGTCTTGTACTGGTTCAGCGGTTCTTGTTGACTAGTGCAAAGAACTGGGTGTGATCCAGACTTAGTTATACTTCGAGTAGATCCATTGAGATCAATGAGCAAAGACATTTATAGTTATTATTGGATCCATTGATTGCAACAGGGCTGCTCTAAGCATGACTAAGTATGGATCCAACCCCTGATATCCCCGTTTGCTTTGTACAGTGGGTTGTTCTTGGTAATCTTTGAGTGCCACCCTAGGTACCTTTAGACCAGAGAACAGTTTAGGGACAGGTCCTGCTTCTCCCAAAATTGAGTTTTCCAAGATGTTTATCTCTGAATTGGAAGAGAAGGTGTGGTTGGAATGCTTAGCTGAAATGCTACGGCCAGCAGGCCCCAAGGTGAGCCAAGCAGCTGGTGAGATGCAGGCCACCTCTGGTTCTGGGGCTGGCACTGTCGAGCAGGCAGGGGGATGTAACATGGTTAGTTCAATGTTTGATTTCAGATCAAGAGAACATGCCAACTGAGAAGTGTCTAACCTTCCCACAACCTCGCCCAGGAGTGGTGGGAACCTCCCTGAGGGTACAGCTTACTCTGTTTGGTGGGGAAAGGAGAGGGATTCAGTATGGAATGAGCTTCTTGACATGAGCATTAATCTGTATAATTAGCTGGCTTCGCAGCTTGTCTGGTATCTTTTACCAATGACCTCCTCAATGCTCTTTGTGTACCCCAAGCCAGCGTTGTTGGCCCACTTCAACAAAGAAACAGAGCGAGCCAGAAGGGACCTCCTGGGCCATCTAGTCTGACCCCCAGCTCTAGCTGGCTCCACTCATTACATGCCTATCATGTGCATGTCTAGCCTAACATAATAAAGACTAGTCATAAGCCTGTTGTCTTGAGCTGCTTGGAAGGGGGAAGAAGATGAGGAAGAGACCAGCCTTTCACAAAAAGGCCCTATAATTCCCTAAATGCCCCAGGTAGCTATGCTAGCTGGGGAATGCTGGGAGATGTGGGACTTTTGTCTGTCTAAACACACATTGGATTATGCCCCCAGGCTGACACACTTGCTTCTCCTGACTAGCAGGCATTTGAACCTCAGTGATATCTTTGAGTGCTGTCAAATGAGTTGCTATATAGCCAAACGTGAGTCTCTTCTGTTGACAGAGGCCCAGTTCCATGGGAGCTAAAAAAGCAGTGCAGGGAAATATGGATTCTTTTTTAATAGCCGCTTTGAAAGTTGGTAAGTCACTGCCTACAAGGTCGAGCTCAAAAAGAGCTGCTTAGACTTCCTTACCTGAATGAACCAAGACTCTTATAGTACTCTAAGGATTCTTGGTTGTGTTTGCTGCAACAGACTATCACCACAGTCCTTCTGGAAGCTCTCTCCTAAACTCTCCTAACTAGTGAGAGAACTTCTTGCTATTTTTCCAAGTAAATATTTTGCTGTTACCAAAGAGTTTAAATAAAATGACTTCTGCATTTGCCAAATATCCGTAGTCTGTCTGTTAATGTGGTACTGCATTTTCATTAGCCATTTCATTTTTGGCTACAGTCCTTAAACAATCTGTGAGTCTCTAAGGCTGCAGTCTTAGACACTTGCTAGGGCTAATGCCTGTTGAACCAAGTGTGACTTCCTTCTTAGTAAACAAATACGATGCCACTGTCATTTTAACAAATGAAACATTACTGTGAAAATGATTGAAATATACTTGGAATGTGAAACACTTGAGATGGATTTTTCTTTTTGGCTTATATATTTGCCTTTCCCCAGGTGTGCACCAGAAATTCCTGTTAGTCACCTGCAGTTATGAAGCTAGGAATTGTGGACTCAAGAAACTTATGTCAGTGAAAGACGCAATAAATCAGTGCCCAGATCTGGTGCTGGTTAATGGAGAGGATCTGACAAAATATAGAGAAATGTCTTACAAGTTTACAGGTATCATCTCTGTATTCTTGAATACAATGTTGGTGATGGCAATATAATGCTTATTTTTTTGGTTTGGCTTTGACCAGATGATTCACAAGGTCCAGATGTGAAAACAGCTTGCATGTTTCACTCTGGATATGCCTCTCTCCTTCTTCCCACACTTTATGGTAGTGCAAGAAGTCAACTGGAAAGAGGCTGCCCAAGTTATATCAAGATATAAATGGCCCAAGTTCCATGGTGATTATGTCATAGAGGTACACTGTGATGTAATATGACCTAGAAGTGAGGGCATTTTTCAGCATGCTCCTCGAAATGTGTTTAGTTGAATAAAGCGTCTACATGCAGCTGGGAGCAGTTTGTTTGTTTATATCAAACCTGCAGGATGAAATCCTATTGACATTGACACAGAAGGAAAGTCTCCCAAGTCCTAGCATTCTTCCGTTAGCCATGTTGGGAATCTTAAGACTTTTCTGTCCGAACATGCATAGGATTCTATAATAAAATATTAATATAGCACATAAAAAGAAATACATTAAAACAATAGAAAAATCAGTACCCAATGACAGACTCCTGTTTCTTGCACAATTCTTGAGCATTTGGACAGGGCTTGCGACGAAGATGTCTTGCATGTTATTGAGTGGGCGTCCCCCGGCATCCTCTATGTTTGGCACTTTATTAGGATATAGAGGTTGTCACTGAAGGTCCTTTTGCTGCTTAAGACAAGTGAGGACTCAGGGCAGGGCCTTCTGTGTTGTGACACCCCATCTTTGCAACATGAAAATACATTAACCTAAGTAACTTAATTTACTTGAGGTAAATACCTAACATCTCTTTACACTCTCCACAGAGGCTCATGTGGGCCAGGTTCTCTTTCCAGTGGCAGATGAAAGTGTTTATCTGCCAGCAGTGGGAAGACTCAGTGGAGGAGATTGAAACCACAGTAAAGTAGAAACCACTTAATCATTTGTCAGGCAGATCATGCTACAAAACCATGAACTATGGTAGCCCAGCAGGGTTGCTTGTCGTGTTGTATGAACACAGACATTAACTCAGTTACATGGTTTGTGTGTGTGTGCTTGCTTTTATTTACAGCATTATTGGAAGAGTTTACTCCACTGGTGGAAAGGCTTGGGTTAGATGAAAATTTTGTGGATGTCACCGACATGGTCAAAATGAGACTGGAGCAGTGGAAAAAAGATTTCTCTGCAATCTCTTGCCCTGGCCATGTATATAAAAATCAGAGTAAGTACTTTTTTGACCAAATCTACATGAGTATTATTGCACAGGACAAAGAGCGTTCATGATACAGAATAACACTGAAGTGAGGTAAATGAAACATAGAACATAGAAAAAGAGCGAGTCAGAAGGGGTCTCCCAGGCCATCTAGTCTGACCCCTGACCCCAGCTAGCTCCACTCATGACATGCCTACTATGTGCATGTCCAGCCTATCCTTGAACACCCTCACTGATGGGGCCTCAACCACCTCCCGTGGAAGCGCATTCCATACTTGGGGTCCTAACTAACAGGAAGTCTTCCTGGCATCCAAACTGAACCTTGGTTCCTTGAGATTGGCTCCATTGGAGCGCATCCTGCCTTCCTCTGCAGGTCTCTACCCACCTCCATGTGACACCCCCTCACATACCTGTATGTCGCCAGCAGATCCCCTCGGAGTCTCTTCTCCATGCTGAAAAGACCCAGTTCCCTCAGTCTCGCCTCCTACGGCTTTCCCTGCAATCCGGCCACTGTCCTTGTGGCCCTACACTGCACTGACTCTAACCTGGCTATATCCTTCCTGTAATGTGGAGCCCAGAACTGAACACAATACTCCAGTTGCGGGTGCACCAGAGTCGTACAGAGTGGCAATAATACCTCTCTCGAACTAGAAGCCACACTTCTGGCCATGCAACCAAGGGTGGCATTTGCCCTCTTGACTGCTGCTGTCACACTGCTGACTCATGTTTAGCCTGCAGTCGACCAGCACCCCAAGGTCCCTTTCACAAGTGTTGAAAGCCGCTTGTCTCCTAACCTGTACTTATGACGCCCATTCCTATGCCCCAAGTGCAAGACCTTGCGCTTATCCACATTGAACATGAAGATGTATTGCAGTCTTAATGGGAACAGGAATTCTGCTTTCGTGCTTCATCTTCTGTACAGTTTTGCAGGTAGTTCTTATATAGGAAGCCCTGTGGGTGAGTCGCCCTGAGTTCTGGAGATGGGTTGGTTACCTGGTCTGGAGAGGGCTGCATGCCTTCAGAAAGATCAGGTGCATAGACTGGGGGCTCTCCTGGCTCCATCACTGTCAGTGGAATCTCAGGAGACAGCAACAGCTTGGAGCATCTTTTACCATCTCTGATTGGTTCACCAGTTCCTGCCCCCTCTCAGGCACAGCTGATGACCTCAGGATTCTTGCAGTGCTCTTATGTGGGGCTGCCCTTAAGGGAGACAGATCATCTGATTCCCCACTGCCCCCAACCACATGCACCTACGGGAAGCCCCTCAAGGGCGTGAGGAGGAGGGCAAGATACAGTTGGGCAGCTGTGCCCAGTTGGAGGAAATGCTGTCCAACGGATTCACTCAGGCAGATGTGGGGGAACCTGCGAAGTGGCACTGCTCTTTTCCATGGTGCTGTCCAGCTGATCCCCCCACCCCGGTCTGCCCGAGCATGCAGCGGGGGCTCTCTGTCGTCTGTCCCCTCTGCTCTGCTGCAGGCATCAGCCCTGTTTGCTCAGCAGAGGTGGCTTGCCGGCTCAGTGAGCCAAATGCAATTGTCAAAGAGGGAAGTCTAATTCCTTCCCACGGTGTCTCCTGGGACTCTGCCTGGAGGACAGAGAGGGAAGGAGCTGGCAGGAGGGAGGAGAGTCACCATCGTGGTCCTGAGGTGCATCGAGGTGAAACATCCCGAACCGTGGTAAGCACACAAGGTTGCTAGTCGTGACATGTGAGCCCAGTCGGCAACACAGACTTCCCAGTAACTCCACTCATACTATATTTAGACTAAAACTGTGGTTTGTCTGAAGTGCACTGAGACACTTGGTGGCTGGTGTCTTTATACAGTTTATTAAAACAAGCCAACTTCAAACTGTGGTTAATGATCCTGGCTTGTTTCCTGGTTTGGATGTATCGACAGAGTGGCATTCATTTGGAAATGGAAGCAGATCCTTCCTGCCCTCTCTCAGCTGCTCTAAGGGCAAGAGGGGGGAATGCCAAGGCCAAGATCTGTAAGCTGTCCTGAGCACTTGAAGCAATAGGACGGGATATAAATGTAATTAATTAATTAATACATAAATAAGATTTGTGCACCTAACACTAAACCCTGGGTTAAAATTACATGTATACCTGGACACTGGGCCTTTCAAGTTACTTACACTGGTGCAGGCTGACCAGTAACTTCTTCCCACTCAGCATCCAGTAGCCTGTTTGGGAAAGGGTGCTGCTCACTGACATGACAAGCTTCTAAACTGGTCTTGGCCTCTTCAGTTGCCCTGTTGCGCTCCACAACAATAAAGAACCATGGCTTAGCCTGAGATTGCTTCCCAAACCTGCGATTCCCAAAGTCCCCTGTGGATAGGTAATGATTAGTACGTTGGTTTCAGTCCACCGGTGGTGTCGGTATGGTTGTTCCTAGGGATGTTCGAGCATCCATTTGGGGGTGGGAATCCAACAGGTCCCTGGGCTCAACTCCCCAGACTCCAGTCCACCTTGCAGGAGCTCAGAGTCAGCTCCTGGTGAGTGTGCCAGCATTTATGGGGTGCTCCCAAGGAACGGGGTGCCAAATGCTGCACAAGCAGTGCCCGCTGCTGCCAACATCAGCAGGTGGAGGAGAAGTCCTGGGAATATGGAAGAGGGGAGCTGCTGGCAGTTGCAGATGGGGAAGTTTGCCAGCTGGGTGACCAGGGGTTCCTGAACATGCGCAGGATTCCTCTTGGCTGAGCTCGCTTTGCAGGACTGGACTGAGCACGGGAAGATATCTGCAGATCCTGGAGGGATAGACTGCAAAAGTGTTCATCCCAACGCTAGTTTTTACCACATGTACTTGTTCACATGCCTGGGTGACAGTTTTTATATATTTATTAGATTTATATCCCACCTTTCCCACCTTTTTTCTTTCTAAAAACTCAAAAGTGGCTTACAAGTATTCTCCCAACAACCCTGTGAAGTAGGTTGGGCTGAGACTGGCCCAAAGTCACCCAGTTGGCTCCATGGCTAAGCAGGGACCAAACCCAGCTCTCCTGCATCCCAGTCCCGTACTCTTAACCACTACACCACACTGGCACATAAATTGTACCCATGTGCAACTATTTGATTTGCCTAGAACTATCTGGATCAGTTGTTGGCATTGACTTGTACATGGATTTGCAGTCCAAATTGCACTTCGCTGAAGCTCTTGGGAGCTGAGCTTCAGTGGTGAGTGGGACAAGATGCCAACATATTTTATTGTAAAATTCCTCTTGCCCCAAGAAGCCTTAGAAAAACATTTCAGCCCTTATGGATGGAGAAAACAGCACACAAAATCTGGAGACCACCAATGGATTGGTGGCAGGGGGAAAGGCAATTGAATCAGGGGAAGGGGCATGGCCCTCTTTGGAATCCCAGGGGGCAGATTTAGCCCCCAGGTCTGAATTCCTACACCCCTGGACTAGAATGGGCAAGTCCACAGCTGCCATGCAAAATAGGTGATGGCTGTTCTGGAACCCCAAAGAGGCCATGGCAAGGCCAAAAAGTTGAATTACTCCAAAATTTCTACTTCATATACTGCAAGGGCAGCTCACAGCTTGGAAGCCTTGTATGGTTTTCCAGCTGCTTTTCGATGATTCATTGTTAATAGCCTGAGGTGTGCATTTTCCTTCTTGTTTTCCCCCGTAGGTGACTATGCGAGGACTGGAATTATTTGCTTCCATTTTGAGATGAATGCCAGTCTGTTGTATGTCCAAAATGGGAAACAAGCCAGGATCATTAATCACAGTTTGAATGTGGCTAGTTTTCTTTGAATGCAAAGTGTCTGGTGTGCTAAACAATGATTGGTCTGTTAACTACAGCTCAGGGTAATGTCCTCTGTTTGCTTCCCAGCTGTCGATTTACATGACCCAACACATAGAAGGTTAGCAGTGGGATCACAGATCGCAGCAGAAATGAGAGAAGCCATGTACAACAGACTGGGCCTTACTGGCTGCGCAGGAATAGCCACCAATAAATTACTCTCCAAGCTGGTGACCGGAATCTTTAAACCGAACCAACAAACTGTTCTTTTGCCTGAGGGTCGGCAGGACCTGATGGTCAACCTCGGCCTCTTACGGAAGGTGCCTGGTAAGATGGCTGCAGATTGCCTTGCCTTTGTTTGGAGTGCATTTATCTGTGCATATCTGAATAAGAATGCTGGTCTCAGAAACTTGGAGGGATTTCAGCTTTTATTGTCTGTGCCTTTACCTAGGCCCTCCCAGTTCAAGTCCTCCAAGAATTAAGGTCTCTGGCTCAGAGGTAGAGCATAACCGCTGCATGCAGCTGCTTCCAAGGTCACTCCTCTCATCTCTAGCTTTGGCTGGAAAATCTTCTAGCAGAATCCCTGGAATACGGCTGCTGAGACTAACAAGGCCAGGGCCTGATCTCAATGGAAGGGTCTCTCCACCTCCCTAAAAGATGTGGGCCCCTCAGCTTTTCACAGCTGGAAAACTCTGCTGCTTATAATTATTTTCCTCGCACAGGCATTGGCCCTAGAACTGCGAAGCGGCTCATGGCACTGGGACTTCACACGGTGAGTGACCTCCAGACATGTTCCTCTGAGATGCTGGCAAGAGAGCTGGGGGTTCTGACTGCACAACACATCCAGAAACTCAGCAGGGGAGAAGATGACTCTCCAGTCACTCCATCAAGGAGTCCTCAGGTATGTCAGAAGATGCATCTTTACAGGATCCTATTGCTGTAATTATTATGTATTGCTGTAATGATATTCTACAATTTTCCTCTGATGAGGACCCCAAAGCAGCTACATGATCCTCCTCCTATCCATGTAATCCACACAACAACCCTGCAAGGTAGGTGAGGTTCAGAGTGAGGGCCTGATCCAAAGCCACCCCACAAACTCCATGGCTAACTGGGGAACGAAAACCCAGATCCTCCCTCCAACAGTCTCTTAATAGCATTCTCTGTCATGTATTAGTATTTTATTTATTAGATTTATATCTTGCCTTTTTCCCTTTAAAGTACTCAAATCAGCTTACATCATTCTCCTCCTGCTGCTGTCTGCCTCATCCCCACAACAACAACCCTGTGAGGTAGGTTATGCTGAGTCTGGGGCTGGCCCAAAGTCATCCAATGAGCTCCATGCTGAGCAGGGACTAGAACCCAGATCCCGAGTCCCAGTCCCATTCTTCTAACCACCATGTGACCACTGGCTCTCGGGTGCAGAGAATATGAATTGAATCGAATCTTAGGGCATCGGATTCAAGCAGTGAGTCTGCTATTCCTTGCTGTCAGCTAGACATGCTGCTAATGGCATCAATGCAATTAATGTCTCCTTTTTTGTACAATGGAAATGCTATTTGCATTTCAAGGGTGCTGCACTGATGCCAGCAAGAGCTTCTTTGAAGTTCAAATAAATACACAGCCCTTTCTTCAGCTGTGTATTTATTTATTTGATTTATATCCTGCTTTTTCCATAGAGCAAACTTAAACCAGCTTACAAAATTCCCCTTCTCCCACTCTCAGTCTTATTCCCACAACAGCAATCCTGCGAGGTGATTCACCCAAAGTCACCCAGCTGGTTCCATGGCTGAGCAGGGACCAGAACCAGGCCTCCTGAGTCCCAGGCCAGCATTCCTAAACACTGCACCACAACGTCTGCGACCAACGAACAACACAGGTTGAGGTTCTGGAGCTTCTGTGCTTATCGTGCAGGAAGTGGGCCGAGGTTCCACCCTCTTGAAATAGCCTTTTTAAAAACTTTCTCCCATCTCAGTGGGGCTATGGAAGTGGCTCCAGGTTCACTAAGAGGAATCCCTTAGGAGAATCCTCCATGCACACGGACATGGATGGGGACCAACAGTTTCTTGCAGTAAATGCATCTGGCACACAAGTGCCTGCCTATCCCATAATGACAGGCCATTTGATACTGCTTGAATCAAGACAGCGATCCATCAGGAAACTGACCTTTGTTCATTCCCCACCCTGTGCTATTTCAAAGATGATTTCATGGTGAACACAATATGAACCCTTCGGGAGGAAGTACAACTGGGTAGGAAATCAGCCAAGGACGAATTTATAGATCTGTAATTTCCTTCCTCTTTTATAAGTTCTGCATTCATTTGCCCCACTTGTAATAATAGTAATGTATTGTTTTATTTTAAAAATACTTTGCAGTCCATTAGTGACGAGGACTCCTTTAAAAAGTGTTCTTCTGAAGCCGAAGTGAGAAAGAGAATGGAAACGCTGCTAACTAATCTTTTTGACAGGTGACTATTAATTTCAGTGAGAAGCGGTATATGTGTAATACAGTGTGATAATATGATAATGTTATTCAGAAGCATATATGAACAGAAGTGTATTCATAGGGATTATCATCATTGCTAATGCTACTACTACTACTACTTAGTAGTAGTAGTAGAGGACTTGAAGCCGCAGAAGAGGGACACTGCGGGGAAGTGAGCTGGCTGCTTACCACCTGCCCATTCCTAACCCAGTTGGTTGCCTTCTGTGTGCTCGACCGTTGCCCTGCTACCTGAGTGAAGCTGGCATAGTTTGCGAGATGGGTGGACCTCCCTAGTTGGCTGAAAATGCCAGCCATGTGCCTGATGCTGGAAGGGCCTTTCTCTGCCAGCCCAGAAGTGGAACGGCCTCAGAAACAATGCCATCAGAACAGAGCACACCAAACAGGGCCACCCGCTTGTAGAGAAACGTAAGGGCCACTCCCATAATACCTTGGCCAGTTTGGTTGCTCAACATCTTTGGTGGGGGGTTGGTTTCTTTCTTAGGGCTTGAGTATGTGCCTGGGGCCAAGCGGGGGGTGGGTGTTGAAGCAGTCAGCATGGTGGGACATGGAGTGAGAGATCGCCCTGGGAGGAGGGCTAGCAGGAAAAGAGGACGTTGGCTTTGCAATGAGCAGTGGTGCCATGTGCCAGTCCTGCCTGCACCTGCCAGTTGGGTGGCTGTCCTACCAGCCTGCCCTTGGGGCTCCAGATGCAGCTTTTCAATGCCCGACCAGTGCAGAATAAGACCTCCCTTATCCATGATGTGGCTGATCTGGCATGGCTAAGCAAGACTTGGATGGGAGGACAGGGAGGAACTGGTCTCTGGGCACTTGGCTCAGTATCAGGGCCAGCTTGAGGCCCAGGAAGCAGGCTAGCCCTGGTCTGTATAAGTCCTCTTCTCCAGGCTCCCTGCCTGACTGCAAGTCTGGAGGGTTTGCATCAAGACAGACCCGGGGATTCTGCTGGTGTGCCACCCAAGAACTACCCACTGCCTAGCAGTCTCCTATCTGAGCCGACAGAGACCATCTTGGATGTGATGCTGAGGTCCCTCGGGTAACCAGTTTTGGAGGAGGTCAATGTCCATGCTCCACTCAGCTTTCATGGCCTCCGCGACAATCATAGGAGCACCCCAGCATATCATTGCTCCAGAACAAGTAGCAGAGCCCACTTGCTTTTTTCAGCTGGTCATGGAGATGCTGATCTGAAGGTGGGAAGGCTGAATCTTTCCCTTCATCCTGGTCAGATCACCGCCTGTTTGAGATTTAGACTGAGGGCAACCTTCCCTTCCGCAAGGACAAGGGAACTTAGCCACTGGCCAGCTGAATGCACTATCAGATATGCCTCAGCATATGGTAACAGTTTTATTGAAGTGGGTTTCACTGGCACCTTAGGGACTAGCATATTTGTTATGGCATAAACTTTCATGGCGTGCAGTCCACCGAGGAATGGGGACTAGAGAACACAGACTTTTCTGCCATAATATATTTGCCAATTGTTAAGGCGGGGTGCCACATCTCAGACCAGCAGGCCAGTCCCAGCCTAGCCGGAGCCTCAATCCAACCTTCTGAGATGGTTGCACAATCTTTCCTTGAACACTTATTTTCTGACGATTTCCTGATTTTAATGTAGTTTTTTGACAGTTCTGAGAGATGGACATGCCTCTCCTCTCTACCCCTCTCCTCTCTACTCCTCTCTTTTTTACCAGGTTGCACAAGGATGGTAGAAAGCCACATACAATAAAATTAACCATTCGCCAGATTTCTGCTGCCAAGCAATGGCTTAATCGGGAGAGCCGGCAGTGCCCGATTCCACCTCATGTGATCCAGAGGATTGGAACTGGTAAGCTCTCCACATGGTGCTTGGCCTTTGCCCTAAGAGGGACAGCCGACAAACACCCCCATTCTCATCTGCCCCCCCTTTATTTTTTCAACATTTATATTTTTTCATCTCCACATCTAAACAGATTCCAGAACAATAAAAAGAATAAAGCACTATATAAAAAGTGGAATATAAACTATGGCAGGCCAATCAAAGAAGCTTCTAGAATAATGGTGTTTCCAGGAGGTACCAGAAGCTACGCAGTGTTGGAACCTGCCTGGCCTCCAGAGAAAGGGGGTTCCACAGAAGGTTCTTCTTCAGGTGGACTCCAGAATGTCCATGCAGAACCACCAGGAGCATCCCATCGGATCACCTCAGTAACCAGAGAGAAGGATAATGAAGAAAGAGTTCCCTGGGGTAGCTGGGTCCCACCTTGTTTAAGGGCTTTCTGCAGTAGTACATGAACCTTAAACCTGATTCAGTAGCGAATAGGCAACCAGTGAGAAGGAGGCAACTGGGTAAAACGGCATTTATTCGACAGGGAAACTATTCCCCAGTATGCTTGGTGCTTGTGCACCCACTGGAGAAATCCGCAGTGGGTTGCAACGAATTCAAAGTTCCCGGAATCTGGCCTGCAGATCCAGCAGTGGGCCAGCTTATTCTGAATCACAAAGATTCCAGACACTTGCAAAACAACAGAGATGTGAACAAAATCGTGCACTTGTGCATTAGCACAAGTGTGCCTTAACACTAATGCACATTCTGCAAAACATGTGCTAGTCTGCATGAGTTAATGTGCTAATTCACATCAAGTACTGTGAATTTGTAGGTGTGTACATTAGCATTAATGTCAAGAAGCACAAATAGAAATAGATTCTGGATAAAAAATAATAATTCCACCAGTGAGAGAACAACAGAACAAAAGAGGTCTGAAGATCTGCAAAACAATCTTCAAAACAAATGAATTGGGTTTAATAAAATTCATACATCCCTAGCAGGTCTAAGACTCCTCGCCCCAAAGTGGAATGAATGGAATTCTTGTCAAAGTTCCCTCTTTTCTCCAGGCCTGGCTTTTACTCTGCTGTAAATGAGGCGTTACATCTCAGCCAATCTGAGGATTTTCCATTCCTTCCCAAAACCTGGGCTGCCAAAACTTCTCTGAGCAATTGAACATTCAATGCCATCTTGCCAGCAAAAGACCAAAACACACGTTGTTTTAAATCCATATCTAACAGTGGTGTCTTTTTTTTTTAATTATTACGCAGCTGGTGCTGGGGCAGGGGCTGGGAGCAACCCAGGTCAGGACCCTGGTGTGAGGATGTGTAGATTCTTAAGTTCTAGATTGGGGCCCCTGCACCTACTGCAGAATAAACATGGGGGAAGCAGCCATGTAGCTGTTACTTCTGGCTGTAAATTAGTATCTGTTTTGGTCCTGATTCGTATTGGGAAGGCTCACCCCCAAAAGCACAATGCAGGATCCATGCTGGAATTTTGGTCCAGGTTTTGTGTGGTACAGTATAAGAAGCAACTGCATTGATGGTTTTCCATGTTCAATTTCCATGTTTGTCTCCAGATGACTCCAGTGTTAAGACACACCTGGTTGGTCTCCTTATGCAACTGTTATACAAGATGATCAACGTGAAAGGTCCGTTTTATATAACTCTTTTGAACGTCTGCTTCTCCAACTTCAAGGACCCTCCTGCCTCTGCCAAGCACTCTATTGGGTTTTATCTAACCAGGCCGTCACCTTCTTCAAGCAGTGAGAAACTTGTTCGTGTAAGTTCAAAACTTTTTCCTTTCCTTTCCGTTCCGTTTTTCTTTTAGAGCCCTCTGCATCTCCATCACTTAAGGTACTTTATGGTCCAAAGGAACGCACAAGAGCAGAATCATGTTTGCACAAAATTGTCTGAAAAAGACAAGAACTTGCCTTTAAAAAAAGATAGCTGCAATTTTTTGCAGATTAATTTTCCTTTATCCCAGGTTTTAGGAACAGTGTTGCAAAACCAAGTACTTCACTGTATTTTTGTCTTGTCCTTACAATGCTTGTGTTTTTGTACAGTAGCCATTTCCCCCATAATTACTTTTAAATGTAAACATACAGCAGGGGCTCCCAGAGATGAACGGCTGAAAATATGTAGGAGAAAGACTCTGATCCATCAGTTTTCTCAGGGGTACAGATTAGGTTGGCTTGCTTATAAATGGGAACCGAACAAAACCCTTGAGTATTCCTACCCTGGAAGTCGCTCTTCAAGGTTTCAGGCAGAAGGAGATCATCATTATCTGCTACCTGATCCTGAGTTGAAGACGGCAGCTTCTGTAGAAACAGACAGTTCAGGAGCTAAATCCCAGGGGAGAAATCCTGCAGAAATTGATAATTGTGGCAGTGGTACTGTAGCAGATTTGCTTGAATGGCTGGAGAAAACCTTTGAAGAAACCCACACTTGGGATGGGGCTAAAAATTCTGATATTGACAAGGGCCACAGGGCAGGTTTAGCAATAGCCATTCAAAATCTTAACTAAGCGTTCCTCTGCTACTGCAGATGATTGCAGATGCCAGGGATCTAACCTGTTTTTTATTATTTATCAGTATCATCATCATTATATACTGCCATTTCCTCTGCAAGGGACACAAGATGGCATACAAGGTCTTTCTCCTGTTCTCCATTTTATCCTCAGAACAACCCTATGAGGTAGGTTAGGCTGTGAGTCCATGACTGGCTCAAGCTCACCCTGTGAGCTTCATGGCCAGGTGGGACTAGAACCCAGTTCTCCCCAGTCCCAGGCTAACACTCTCGCCACTGCTCCATACTGGCGATCTTCTCGAAGCCAAAGGTATGCTATATCACCAACAGCATTGTGGGACTTGGCTGGAGTAGAGCCCCGGGGCAATATAAAATGCCTCTGACTCCAGGCCCAGACAGAGTAACTAGGCAGTAAGACCTACTGAAGTCAGCCTTTTTTGGTGCGTTGTACTTGGCTTTAACATAAGCTGAGCTCTACTGGAATGGACCAAAGGTTCTGGGAAGCCCACAAGGAGACCATGCTTTTCCCTGTTGTTTCTCCCATCACTTGCGTTGAGACATATACCGTCCCTGAACCTGGAGATGTCCTAATGCCCTTTAATAACCTATCCTCTCTGAATCTGTCAAAACCCCCTTCAAATACCGTATTAACCTAGTGGTTCTCACCATAATTGCTTTCAACAATTGTCAGCTAATATTGGATCCAAGTGAAAGTCATCAGGACGCCATTCATAGTACTAAGTTTGCAGATGAGAAGGCTCTAAAGGAGCTGGTTGCCTGGTCACCTATGGTGCACAAGAAGCTTGTCCAAGCAACCAGACAGCAGAGTATTTGCGGATCAGTAATAATGTTTATGGACTAACAGATCTTGGACTTATTCAAACATGGTCCTAAATTACTGCCACATGGAGAAAGAGTAACTGCAGGGATGGGTCAGCCATTTGCTGCAATCATCTTTTTCACTATGTGAAATGTTTTTCATCCTTTGTATTTCAGAAAATGGAAAATATGAATGTACAACATGCAACTCCAGCAGGTCAGGTGGATATTTGTGAAGACTTACCAGAGGCCAGAAATGCAAGAAGTGTAAAAGCTTCGCTGGAGACCACAAGCCTCCCAAAAGAAACCAACATTCCTGAATTCCCGGCTCACTTGCTTCCTGCTGGCATTGACTATGATGTGTTTAATCAGCTTCCAAAGGACATTAAGGAAGAAATCTTATCTAGCCAAAAAGAGGAAAGAGATACTGCAGCAACCCCTTTGCATCAGACATTACCTCCCTGGAGGGAGGAATTGGCAGACAGGGCACAGGACAAAACCAGCTGCGCTCCTTCGCATTCTGGAAGAACCCGTCAAAACTTTAGTGCTTTGGCTTTTGAACCCACCAGTGAGAAGCTGCCACAGACTATGGATGGTTGTGCTTCCAGGCGCTTTGTTCCTCAACACAGCCCTCTCGAGACTGCTGGAGAGCTCACCGAACATGCAGATCCTGTGGATGATAACGATTTGTCCCCAGCGCTATCTCCACCCTCTCTTCTCTGGACTGGTACCCCAGAGGGGCGGGAACACCCAGAAAAGTTGCAGCCAGATGATGGGCCCTCACATTGTGCCAGTGGGAAAGAAGGTCCCAAGCTGGACCTGCCGTCTTCTGTTGATCCCAAGACCTTTTCTGAGTTACCTGCAGAGATACAGAAGGAGTTGTTGGTGGAATGGAAAGGCCAGGAGCCCATTTCCAAAATTCAAGCCAGCAGAACTCCTGAGAAGCTCAAAAAGCACAAGAAAGGATTGCCTTCGAGCCCTCAGTCAAACAGCTTATTGAGATATTTTAAACCACGGTGATTACATCGATGCTTTATGTCGGTGCCCATGTGCCTCAACTCCGTGGGTTGGCCAACACATTCAGCAGAATCTGACTGGCGAGTTCTCGGATGACGCCATTTCAAAAAGCAAGATGTGAAAAAGCCACCGTTTTTCAATGCTGTTAAGAATTAGAAAAACCTCACGGTCCACGTAACGGTCACAACAGTGATAGGAGTTCGCGACTAGCTGATGCGCCGTTTCTACGGGGCAGGGTTTTGCTTCACTTGAGGGCACATTCAAAAATGCAACTTCCTTCATCTCTCAGCTGAATTACTACAGTCCCCAGAGAAGTCAACCACCAAATTTGACTTTCCTTCTAAAAATTAAGCCTGTTAAACTTTCAGGGGGTATAATTAATGGGAAGGGTGGCAAGATACAAACTGCCACAGCAAATACTTCACCCTCTACTCCCATAACCGCAGATATGGTAGCAGTTGGTTTTCTGACCCATGGAAAGGTGGGAAGGAGGAAGAGATAGGAAGAAGGACATATTGTAGCAACATAAATCAGAGGAAAATAAAAGATGGTATACATCCTCTCTTTCTCACTGCAGTCCATGGCACAATTTCATGCTGCTGCAGAAAGGAGAAAAATGACAAGCAGACATGTTCATGTACAACTAATCGCAGAGTGCAGAAGCTAGAGTGGCCATTCAGAATGGTGCTCTAGGAATTGCACTTTGTGGTTTGGCCTCCCGGCTGACCACCTCCTGGTGGCATTCTGACTCTTCTCTTTTTCTGGCAGCAGAAGCAGAGTAGGCTGACTTGTACTGCATGTGTGTTTGTGTAATCAGTGTGTGTGTGTGTGCGCGCAGACAAAGAAATTTTTGGAGCAGGGCACTCTCACGAAAGAAAAAAAAGGAAAAAAACTCAAGGAGGCTTCAGCTTTCATCCTTGAATTGGACATTGTTAACTGTACGAATGAAAATTCCTGTTTGCGCTAAACATATATAATAAGAGTGTAAAGTCATGTAACACACAATGCTCCTTCCCATTAAAATCTGGAATAAAGCGAAACTGATTAGATCCTCATCCTAGAATTAACCTTCTTTTAAAAAAAACCCTTTGAAACAGAGATATTTTTAGTTATAACTATTCCTGTGTGGGTGCTTTACTCATAGAAAAAGTTCAATTGCCAGGTATGTGAGTGCCATATGTGATTAAAAAGATAAAAGTTGCCCAGGATGGCACACGGTAACCTGTAAGTTAGGCCTCTTGGTTCTTCCCTTTTGTAAGTTCGTCCACTGTTATTAGCTGTAATGAGAACTTTCAGCCCAAGTGAAGTGGTGCTGTTATCTACCCAACCCCTAAGTATGCCTGGTGGGAATAGAACGTGGGGAACACTGCAAATTATTAATACTTTTAATTGCTGGTGTCATTATTTGCTGGGAGAAATGAACAGAAGGGGTTCTAATGCATTGGAAACAGTACTCTCATGGTCTTCAGAAGCAGATAAAGGGGAGAATTGTGTTCAGTTTTCATTTTAATGAGAACAAATTCACTCTTCGGAAATCAGTGTTTGGAACAAAGTATAGTTATATTTTGGTGTTTGCACTTCTCAGCCAAAAAAAAAAAAAAAAAAAAGCCAATCGAAGACTCCAGTATACTCAAAAATATATACATGGGTACATATTTGCATAAAAAAGGGGAAAAGAATATAAAAATATTATAAAAGGGGAAACTGATTGCAAAAATGTTTTAAGCAACCTTGTGTGCAAAAATGTATGAGAAATAATATACACAATAATGTCTCCAAAGGCTTCTATTTTTATTTTTCATCTTGTTTTGTTGAAGTTGTGAATTGATGTGGAGATGGAACAAACTGAGGACTCACACAATGTACAACTGAGAGATACTGAAATTAACAGGTTTGCCCATCTGAATTCAGAAGCGAATTTCTAGAGGTATATTTGGTCTCTGTTCCCACCTGCAATACATTCAGCCTTCTGCAGCCAAATACTCCGTGTATGTCAGTGACAGTATTTAGACCTTCCCTCACAGAGGTTAAAATGTTGATTTCACAGTGACATTTAACAGAATGGAAACACTCCTTTGATTGGTCTATTCTTCTTGCTTCTTCACAGCATTCCCTCACTCTCATACACACATACCCCAAAAGAGAAAGGAGGGTTAAATAGGTAGGGCCAGTCCATCTCCCTCAGCTGGCACCATCAGCAGCTGTTCCAGAAGGCCAGCTTCTTTTTCCTCTTCCCTCCCCAACTCTATTTCCTTATGTGCTAAGACTTTTAACAATTCTTTTATCTGTAGTAAGAACCATCTTACTTACTGTTGTCAGCCCCTCCAGGAGCCTTTTCAGCTGAGGTGCAGAATAAAAATACCCATATCTTTCACATTAAAAAGTGTGAAACGGCACTATTTCAACATTTCTAGCCCTAAGAACTGCAGAGAAAAACCTGAAGCAGCATCTTTATTTTTTCTGTTTCTTCTTTGTGGTGGCTTACCCTTAACAAGAAAGAAAAGCTGGTGACCAGTTGGGCCCCAGATTTGTGGCAGGGTGAACAATCTGGTGTTAACACAAACTCAAAAGTATTTTATCTTGAGAGAGGAAGGTCCCAGAAGATGAAGTCAGTCATTCACAGATCTTGGTTTCACTTGTAGCTGGCCAAAATATTTTCTTGCCAGGATCCTCTCCCTCGGGAAGAAACAGCTTCTGGTATCGCCCTGGGTGCAAGACTTTGTGCAATTATGGGGGCTGCCCCCAGGCGCTCCCACACCACTGAGGAACCATGTGGGAAGCATTCACCATGGGGTGCCTTTGCTGCTGCTGTCTTGGCCGTGCAGGTGTGGGGGCAGGCAGGGGGAGATGGGGTGACAACCCAGATCTAGAGGTGGTCAGGTTGGGAAGGCCCCCTTGCTTTGTCTCCAGTGAAGACGAAGTTGCCAGCCAAGGAGACCATGCAATTCTAAGTGTTCACCCAGGAGAGAGATGCTGCATTTCGGGGGTCCTGACCTCTATGGAAACATGCAATGGATTTCAACTTTAGTTATTCAGTTTTCTGTATAAGTATGGATTCTTGCAAATTTAAATCTGTTGGAGGCTTACAGTTAAGGCAGGATTTTGTTGCCTTTTTATATTAGTGCCTCCTGAATTCGAGTGCCATCATAAGAACATGAGCAAAGGCCTGCTGGATCAGACCAAAGGTCAATTCGGTCCAACACTCCATGAACGTGGAGGCAAACCAGCTGCCCTCAGGATCCCTCCAGCAAGACGGGTGCAAGACCTCCTGCCCAGCTGCTCGGCAACTGCTGTATGCAGGAAGGCCCCCTCTGGTGAAGGAGATGGCATATAGCCAGCAAGGCTAGTAGCCATGGATAGCTTCATGGATCTGTTCAGGCCCCTTTTAAAGCCGTCCAAATTGGTGGCCACCACCATTTCCTGTGGCAGCAAATCCCACAGTTTAATTACCCACTGTGTGAGGAAGTACTTATGCTAAGTTCATAGGTTTCACCACAGTGAGTATACTTAAGTTCCTTTAATCAGCTAATTTGTTTTCTATTAGTTCATAGTTCAGAAGCTCAGCCCCTTACAGAGGCTGTGTAGCTTGAACGCACAGTTAAATGCTCTTTCCCTTGAGGGCAAAACATGGAAATGAGAAAAAGTGGTTTGAAACACTTCATAAGGGATTACCTCTGTTTTACTCCTGACTTACAAGAACCATTTTCAGCCTGCTCCTGGCTCGGAGGTGGACAACACGTTGGCCAACCTGTCTAAGGACCACAACTGCCATCAGCCTTGTCCACCGGCCATGCGGCTTCTGGCGAGTGGGATTTCTTGGTCACAATAGCTGGAGACCCACAGACCCACAGTTTAGATAAAGGCTTTGCAAAGTGGCAGTTACCTAAAATATAACTCTGAGCATGAAAAGGGTTGACAAATGTGTGAATCTCCCAGATACGTATACACAGAAAATGTTGGTGGAGATGGGACGCAAGACAGCTTGATTAGGTATCTTATGTTCTTCCTCTAACACAATGCATGGTTGTCTCCATCACACGCCCTCTGTCACCTTCGTTAAAGCATTCTCCAGACACTTCTGGGTGCAAAACAGTGAACGGGATAGACCTCTAGTTAGACTAGGGATGTTGTAGAAATACACGATGCAGCCAAAGCTGGGAATGTGAGAAGAATGTGTGAGAAGTGGGGATCCACTGGATTCTCTGGGCTTGGCTTCCTGGACCCTGGTGTGCTCTGTAGCAGCCCTGCATCCAGGTTCCAGGTGAGCATGCCCAGAATTCACAGGGTGCTTGCCGGGAATTAAGCCCCATGTGCTGCAGAAGCAGCACCCGCTCTGTGCCCAGTGCAGCCTTCGCTTGAGTGGCTGCAACTGACTCCAAAGAAGGCTGGTCATGAGGGGCTCACCAGGAAAGAAGACCCCCTCCATAATTGCCTTTTGGAAGCAGAAGGTTGCCAGCTGCTCAGCTGGGAGTCTGTGAGCATTCACGGACTTCCTCTCAGCTCAGCTTGCTTTGCAAGAGCAGGAAGGCCACGAAAGCTTGGAGGGATGGATTCCAAGAGGGTTCATCCCAAGCCTATTCAAAGGAGGTCACATTTCGATGAATCTGAGGAGACCAGCTTTTCTGCAGTCATGTGGATGGGTGCGCCATTTCTTAAAACTTTTTTGCAAGGAGAATTGGTGCTAATGCACATTTGTGCAAGAGGAACAAGATTCCTGCACATCAAAAAAATCCAATTCTATCTGTGTGTGGACAGCAGAATGAAAGATGCCCAGAAATTGGCAAAACAGAGACAGAAGGGGCTAAGTAATACCCCTAGGTTTGCTTCAGCATGGCAATATTTGCATATTTCATGCAAACTCTGCTGACTGTACTCCCTTTGACCCTTTACATTCAGGGTGTTAAATCTCCTTCGGCCTGAAAGCCAACTGGCATTTCGGAGGTGCTCCATGGGCTGGAGCTGAAGGCAAAAGAGGACAGTGCCAAATGACCAGTGATGCCAATCCATTTGAACCTGAATTTCTTGCTGCCTGTAACTTAGTCTTAGACCTTTCAAACTTTTAGAATGGTAAAGAAACCAGCTCAGGAAGGCTGGATTTTGCCAGTGAACCTGAGACTCTCCACCTGCATTTCTGCATTAAGCCAAACTTCAGCAACAACTGCATACTGCAAACAACCTTCGGGCAAGCTTTTATGGGATCGTTTCCTTTAGTGACTTAAATCCAGATTTGCAATCGGTGACTAAGTTTATGAGGGTCATAGGCATAACTGAATCTACCAGAGAAGGCATTAACATGCCTCCCAAGTCCACCTGGAGGATCGCCACCAGTTTGGAGTGGTCTGGATTCCTGAAAGAGAGAATTGGTTTGCTTTGATCAATTCAGGTTCCAAGAGCACACCGTATATCTTTCAAACAAATGTGATATTGCAACATTTTCAATGGGGCGCCTGTGAAAAGGGGCTGGCTGCAGCAAAGGAGAGCAAACTCCCCATTCCTGTTTCTCTATAATGTGTGTTAGGAGCACAGATGGCGCGGAATCTGTGGTGGAAAGTCCTGCCATGTGCTTTGTTTCGAGCAGGGTTGACGGAAACTGTCTGCTCTGGGTTTTCAGTGAGTCTGCCAGCTCCCCAAAAGGGTCACCAGCTCCCCAGAAGGGTTCTTGCTCATCTTTCTCACCACTGGTACCTCCTCCCTGCTGGACAAAGAGAGAGTTGCTGGGAAATGAGGCAGCAGCATCTGCCTCTGATGTTTCCTTCTCCTCACCAGCATGGCCTTGGTCAGACCAAAGCCAGCGGGAGAAGCAACTTGGGCTGGCAAAGAGAAGGAACAAATAGGACCTTTCTGGGGTGAGGGTCCTTGGCAGCTGCTCCTCCTCCCCGACCCAAAGAGGTTGGCCTCAGTGCCCAGTCTCTTTCAGCCCGAGGGCTGGATTCCATTTTGGAGAAGCTGCCAGGAGCTGCATCCAGGGGTGGGCAAAATGCCGCAAACACCTACTTATTTCAGCTTCAACCTTTTGCTACCAGTCACTAAACCTTGTTTGTTTGTTTGTTTGCCGTCCCATTCGCATAAGCCTTGGGATGGCTTCCAGCATTATAAATAAACAGTAATACAGACAAAAACATATAAAATCTGGATTCATCCTGGCTAAAAGATTTTAAAACCAATAAATAATATTAATAATTATTAAAATATCGTTTAAATAAAAAGGTCTTGGCCTGGCGCCAAAAAACAAATAACGACGGCGCCAGGTGGACCTCTCTGGGGAGTGCATTCCATAAGTGGGGCGCCACCACAGAGAAAGGCATACCTTGAGATACCTCAAGATATCCCAGAGATACCTTGGGAAAGGCATCTCAGTTTTTCAGAATGAGAGAAAAAAACTGCACCAAAGGCAGGGGACAGCTCGAGGATTGGTGAATGGGGAAAGGGGGAACCCTAAAGCAGCCTTCCCCAAGCTTCTGGCTTGCAGACATGTTTGGACTGCAGCACCCTGGATTCCTAGTCAATGGTCCTGCAGGATGGGAATTCTGGGAGTTGTGGTCCAAATGCCTCTAAAGGCCACCAGGTTGGGGATGGCTGTCCTAGAGGACCAGATTGAGATGCCGGGAGGACAGGTTTGATCCACGAGCCTTAAGTTCAACACTCCTCCTTCAGATATACTATCCTTCCCAGGCTGAAAGGCCAAAATCCATATGAAATGTCTACAAACTACTTAGCGCTCGCTCGCACTCTCTCTCTCTCTCTATCTCTCTCTCTAAACAGAAGCAGCTTTGAGCTAGGGCCCAATCCGGATTAGAACCACAGTGCTTGTGACGAGGATTCTGCTTTTCCCTCACATGCCATTTCCTCACCAAAAGTCCACCCTCACAATCTGATTCGCATTAGCTGAAGACTAAGACTTCTTTAAGCCATGGTATGTTCTGGTGTATGTAGACTGCCATTTTGAACATTGGTCGCCGAATTGGAGGGGGGGGGTCTCCAATGGGCTGTTTTGTCACCTGAATCCAGGGGGCAAATGCTGTATGCTGTTTTAGGGTTAAACAACCCCCAAATAACTGTACAACAGATTGTGGGCTATTTGAGGGATGCTTAATCCTCAAAAAACCCATTGCTTATTATCGGACAACAACAAACCAGGTCTGGCGACTGGTGCCTGAAAGTGCTGTGGCTAACCATGGAGTAAATAGCCACAGTGAGTAGCGGCGATTGTGCAAACCCAGTCGGTGCCTTTGATTAATACCATGAGAGGCCCTTTTATCTAGATGCACGTTGGGAGGGCACATGGCAATTAAATTTTGCTTTCCGGAGCTTGCATAGACCACGGTTTTACCTGTTTGGTGGTGTGGCAAATTAAGATTTCTGTGAAAGGGGAAGTAATTCATTAGCCCTGAGCATGAAGAACAAGGGAACGTGGTTACTTCAAGGCTCATTCATGTAATACTGAACCATCACTTGGCCATACATGTGAAGTTGCCCGTGCAGGTTATAAAGAGCTCTTCTGGCTTCCAGGTCAGGAAGTGCCACGAGGATTAAATCGTCTTCTCCAATACGAAATGCTTACTCTGGATGGGGCGAACATGCATAACCAGAAGGAAAGTTGCTACCACGGACGTATCTTGGAGTTGGGAGATAATCTGGATGATCCACACTGACAGCTTAAGGGAAAGAACAAAAAAAATCAAAACCAATTCATACAAGAATTCACGCATTGACCACTATGTCACAGTGGACATAACAACACAGTGTAAAATAATGTGTGGCTAGGCTACCTGGGGATGATGGGTGCTATAGTGGGGAGAGGACAGCTTGGGGGATGGCTGCATAGACGAGCATACTTGGCCCACAGAGATCCAGGTTTAAATACTTGCTCAGTCGCGAATTTGCAAGGTGACCTTGCGCAAGTCAAACCTCTCCTGTCTACCTTACCCTGCAACTTCACTGCCAGGGACAAAAGAAGGGATGTGACTGCCCTAACTTCCGCAGGTGAATAAAAAGGTGAACTTTGCAGGACGGGGGGAAGATGTACTATTTGTCTCCTGGGCTGCTGTCTCTTAGGGAGCAATCCAAAAGTGGGGAATCCCCCTCCAAAACTGGAGACAGTGCTCTGGCCTCTGAAGAGGAAGTCAAAGGTCCAACCACCTTCTCCATTACTGGACACACCAGCTGCCCTCCGGAGTCGGAAAAGTAGCCTCAGAGAGGGAGAAAAAGTGGCATTTTGGTGGGAGGAGAGGAGACCGAAGAGACCAAGATAAAGGCTACCTTGAGGCTTCTCCAGTCTTCTTTCCTCACCTCCAAAGCACTGTTGCTAGATAGGCAAAAAATAATTGTCACTAGCGAAAGATGCAGGCTGGAAGGACGGGAAGGCGAAGGTCACTCGTCTCTCATTGTGCCTTGCACTGGATGATCAAACGCCTCCAAGCTTGGGGGCATCCAGTCCTCAAGGGCACCAACCCACAGGACTGAGCCATTACAGTTTGATCTAACCATCCTTTCAAAGAGCTCCACATCACTTACACGGAGGTAAGTGATGTGGTTCTCCTACTGGAGTATTGCACTGCAGGGGACTCCTAGAATTTTCACTAGCAACGTACATCTCATTCACACGCACGACACACCATCCATCAACTACTTTCCAATGAATGATTACTTACAGTTTGTTGTCATTAAATTTCCATCATCATATTTCTTAATGTGCACAATGTACACAAAGTCTCTTGGCGAAATCAATCCAAAGCCATAACTGTGTGTAATACTGTGAAAAATGAAAGTGTCCTATAATTTAATAATAAAAAGATTAAATCAGAAATGAAAGTGTTCTACAACAAAGCAAAGCAGTTAGGGTGTCAGCCCTAAACATTTTTGCCTCCATCTGAAACTTGCTTAAAACTAGTTTAAGATTCTGATGTTAAACCTAATCAGCAAAACGATTATTGGATGTCAGATCGCAATGCAAGAGGCTAGTCTGTTATTTATGAAGCCATTATCAAGCACTGGGTTTAAGAATCGATACAGAATGTCTAGATGTTGTGCAAGGCTGAGAAACATGTACCCCTCTGGATGATAGATGACAACTCCATCAAACCTCAGTATTGGCCTTGCTGGATAGGGGCTGATGGGAGTTGCAATCCAACAACCTCTGAAGAGCTACATGCTCCTCAGTGACACTGTCATGGAAAGGTGGAAAAATAATCTCTTGAAACAACTTAATGCTAAATAAATGGAATTGACAGAGAAGGATTATACTCTGTCATTAAGGTATGGGTCCCATGGTAGAGGTAGGATAGAGAGAATTAAGTTTCCACCTCTTGCCTGCCCTTTCTAATCATTCCCCTCCCTAATGATGTTTTGCAGAAGAGAAACACAGTTTGGTCTTTCAAACATCGCTTGGTGTTCCTTGGAACGTGCAGTTCTGGCCAGGAATCTGCCTCCGAAAAACATATTGGTTTCTTTAGCTGAGAGGTTCCAGGGTTACTCTGTACCTCCAAAAATGGTCCTCTGTTTGTGACGTTTGTGTATGCCATTCGGGTTGTGTATCTGATTTTTGTTCAACCAGCAAGAGGAGGTGGAAAATAGTAATTATGTGTGTTGTAGCACAACACAGCTCAAGAACACCAGGTTGGGAAAAGCTAAGATGATGGCTAATCCTAAATAGCAATTAAAAGCAAATTTTGGCCCCCAGATCTGCTCCACTAGAAATCCAAAATAATATCTAGGCTGAGAAAAAGATACACTCAGATTCCAGCATTCAGAAGGAAGCTTTCCATTAACTTACTGAATCACCTGGTCAACTGTTTCTACAAGTTTATATGACTGTACCGCCTTGTCCCATTTACTGCGGTACTCGGGAAGGTAAATGAAGGGAAAGAGTTTATTAACAGGTATTTCCACGAGGGCTTCAGCACGGTATCTAGAAACAAAGATCTCCATGTTAGTTGGCTTGTATTTTGCACTGATGTCTGTGCCAGAAATGTAGGAGAATGAGGAGGAAGTGACAAAATTCCAACTGCAGAGAAAAAGAAAGGAAGCCATTAATGCAGGAAGAAGAGAGAATGTTAAAGTGTAAGGAATTCTGATGGATTAAATCCAACATATTTGCAATCGTTGCTAGGCCACTTAAAGATGACTTGGCGTTTTGTTTCTGTCCTGTCTACATAAAGGAGCTGTAGAAGGTATCTTATGGCACTGCAGATTATTGAATTACACTTCCCATCCTTCCCCTGCACCAATGGCATGATGGGCATTGTAGTCTGACACACCTGGAAGGCTGTGCTAGGGCCACGCTACACAGCATCTTAATCGTAATTCTGCCTTGAATTTGGGGTTAGTTTTTCATAACTTTCTGTCATCGGCACCCCTATCTTGACCCTAAATAGGACATCCTTAATCCTGTGCCCTAACCCTAAGCCTCTACTGAGTCGTCAATCTAGATGAACAGCCTGTGTAATACATTTACATTGTAAAATAAGGTCCCATGCATGCCCACGATAGCCAGGTGGTAATGGGTGAAGTGCTGCTATTCTGTTATGCTTGCTCCCAAATGCTGGACACTTGTGCCAGTTCTGATAAATGAAGGACACCTTCATGATTTTTTGTTAAGAAAATCAGACTTCCACTTCTATGGAAATACACCTAGGTCCTAGAAATATTTGACTGGCCAAGTGACTAGCACAGTACTAGCTCAGGGCTTCCTGCAATGAATGAGTGACCGCTAAACCAGTGTAAGGAAGCAATCTTATGCTTGTTTAAACAGATTAAAAAAGCCTACAACTCCCAGCATGCCACAGGCAGCATAGGATAGCTGGGGTGGGGGGTGCAGGTATTTTTTTCCTCCAGTCTAAACTTGCATAGTTTTATGCTTTAAGTCTGCAACTCTTCTCCAATTTTGTACCCACCAGATGTGTTTCCACAAGGCCCCCAACCAGCCGTGTTTTGTTGGCTCTGTGGGCTTATGGGAATTGTAGTCTGATACATCTGGAGAACAACAGGTTGGGGAAGGCAGGGATTTGAACAGTTATGGAAACAAAGAAGAATCTTGTGATATCAGCTGACACTATTTTTCAGCAGAAGAGCATGGAAAAAAATACACCAAAAGCAAAACTGTAGGTACTTACATGTTTCCTTCGAAGCACAGTGAAGGTTTTGATGACACTTCAATAAATTTCTCAGGATAACAATAAAGGAAAGAAAACAAGTACTGAAATATCAATACTTCCTTTATTCTCAAAAAATCTTTGTTATTCCACTTCTAACAGTGCAACCCTATACAAATGAGCACCATTGAGTTTCATGGGATTTACTCCCAGGTGAGTGACACATAATTTCAGTTTACTCTTCTCATTGCCTCTGAGAAATAAGTGTTTTCTACAAGTGAATAGGCCAACTTCTCTAGTTTATTATGTTTACATACCATCCAGTATTTCATATTATCTGGGAAGTTCACAAAGATCAACATTTCAACATTACATTATAAAAACAACGTACACACGAACATGTAAAAACATACCCCACAGGGAGACCCACACACATACACACACTATTAAAAACAATTTTAAAGCATCAACAACATGAAGACATTCAAGACCTGATCAAAAACATCATCAATTGCCGCTGAATGCCTCAGGGAAGAAGGTCTGACACGGAAACAATGATATGGGCAGCAGGCATAATGATGCCTAATTGGATTTCTTGTTTTAATATGCAATTAACTGAGTCCTAGATGGCCTAGAGCCCTATCAAACCTTGACATGGGCTACAAAATTATCTGGCCTTATTTACAGGGGACAAATAGTTCTAACAAGATGAACTGCAAGGTTCTTACTGTACGTTTTACCACTTTCCAATCTGCTGAATCTTGGAAGTATGCAAAAAGTGTCGTGGAAACATCCTCCGCGATTTTCTTGTAATCCATCTCTCTGCTGAAAACAGCAAAGCAACACACAGCTAAGTAAGGCACAGGACTTCACAAAAGAATGCCATCTTTCCTACGTCGCACAAAGCACCTGGACTGCACGGTGTGTAGTAATAGATTTTGAAGCACGAAAAGCTGGGTCCTGACGTTCCACCTCTCCAACACTCCCACTGGCACGATTTAGGGAGTGCTGGAGGGAAGAAATAGAAATAGGCCAGAATGGGAGAAAATGCAGTTAAGATCACGCTTGCTTTTCGAAATCAGATGCCGTCAGAGGCAGAGAGCAAATTTTGCTTCCATCCAAATGACGTCCGTGAATGCAGCCTCCGTAGTTTTCTATGCAAGTGAAACATTTCTATTTGACCAGGAAATGCAGCACCCTAAAACAGTTCTTGATCTACTCCCAAATCGCTCTCTTATTGCCACAGCAACCCTGTGAGGTAGGTCAGGCTAAGCATCCTCGATTGGCCCAAAGTCACCCAGCGAGCTTCATGACTAGAACCCAGATCTCCCAAGTGCCGGTCCAACACTCTTAATCATGGCATCACACTGGTTCTCTCTCTCCAGTCTGTCTGCTAGCAGACAAAAATACTTTTATTCAAGCAGACCTTTGATGTATATGCAGGTCTATTGTGTTGAGGTCTGGGTTTTTTTGCCTGTTCATGCTGTGTTTTTCATTGCGTTTTAAATGCATTTGTCTTCTTGTCCAGTGTACAGTCTTAGACAGGAAAAAGTCTACAACTTCCAGCATTCCCACAAACTATTTGTGCACAGTGTTTGCTCCCTAAAGGTGATTTTGGGGTACACAGATAGTTAAAAGCTGCACACTTAGAAATGTGGTTGAAAAGGTGCCTTCCAGCACCACCTTCTCCCCACAGAAAATTTCTCTGCTATTCATGTTCATTTCAAGTCCATTCTTCAGGACCTGAAAAGAAGTGATATGGTCTTTTCAGTTGTGGCACCAATTTTTGAACCCTCCCTACAGATCTTTTCTTGATACTCAGTCTGATGTCTTTCCACAAGAGGGAAAACCCTTTATTTGTTAAGGTTCTTTGGAAACAAGAATTTTTTACATGGTGTTTTAAGCTACTTTCTCAGGTATCTGCTGCTTCATGCAGTTTTCCAAGTATTTAATATTGTTTTACAATGCAATGCAATGCTAGTCCCTTGAGGGACAATGGAGTTTACTCCAGGTAAGTGTGCACAGGATTGCAACCTGGCAGCACCATCCCACATCGGTTTGCTCTGCAGCGTTCCTCCTTCTAGGGAGTGGCACAGAAATTCCACAAACAAACAACAAGTCTGGAGACCTGGGTGGCCCCAGAGTACAGCAATCTCTCTGTGTACTGTATTTCATGAATTGCTCAAGCTTCATATTCCCGTCTCTGGTTCTGCTGGAAAGGATAAAGTCACACCACCCGAGAATGTGTTTTGCAGACGCGAACTTCCCATCTGTGCAACAATATATTGCAGCATATTTAGGGTACAGAGATGCTCCGATCACTCCCTTTTTGTATTTGTGCTTTTCATGGGAGAGAAAAGTTTAAACTTTTAAACTTTTCTTAGAGAGTGCCTTACTCCATATATTCTTGCCCGTTGTCTAAGATCTTTGACTGGGGCTGTCCTACGAGTTCCTCTCCCCACGGAGGTTAAGACAGGGGCTGCAAAGAGGAGGGCCTTTTCTGTGGTGGCACCCCTACTGCGGAACACTACTGCTGGAGATTTCCCAGGTGCCTGACTTGCTGAGTTTCAGGTACCTAGCAAAAAGTTTTCTGGCGCATCTTTGGCACCATCTAGACTATTACTATCAAAGCACTATTAATTTATGCCTTATTTCATTTGATTATTTTATTGTGATTTTATGCCATTTATTTATTTATTTATTTATTAGGATATCTTAATTGTATTATTTTATCAATGTTATTTGCTCATTTTTTTATTGTAATGGCCACCCAGAAAGCATGAAGCTAACAGGTGGCTTTTAAAGAAACCTGATAGATAGATAGATAGATAGATAGATAGATAGATAGATAGATAGATAGATAACTGAACCCTGGGGAAAGCTATCAGGATCTCGGAAGCATCCGGTTGGAGTCAAATCAACCTTAGTGGTTAAGGGGGGGCGGGGTGTCAGCGTATTGCCCAAGTGTAGGAGGAGAGGGAGCAGGTCATGAGGTCATCATGGTAAGCCGTCATAGCCACTCGGAGAGGACCAAGCACTTGGATCGATAGTTGCACATGGCCGGTGGGGACACTGTGCTTATGTGTTTCTTTCCAAATGCCAGAAGCCTTAGGGCCCAAACAGGAGGGCCGGAGGACCTGATGATAAAGGAGAAGCAAGATCTAGTGGCACTACAGACACCTGGTGGAGTAGAGATAATCAATGGGATGCAGTCAGTTCGGAAGGTAAACTGTGTAGGAAAGACAGGGAAGGGTACAATAGAGGAGGTGCTGCCCTCTATGTTAAAGAGGACGTAACAGTCCAGCAAAATTGACCATCCAACGTGTGAAGACTCCCCGCAAAAAGTTCTATGGGTGAACATTTCTGGCTCCAAAACTAACCTGGCTGTAGGATCTGCTATCGTCCCCCAGAACAGAATGCTTAGGGTGGTCTTGAGATGGGAAATCAAATCAGGGAGACCTTCCACAAAGGCAGCACTGTAATAATGGGAGACTTCAACTGCCCACGCATTGACTAAATAAATGCAGGTTCCAGTTCTGACAGCGAGGTTAAATTTCTCATGTCCTAAATGACTGTCCTAGAGCAGTTGTGGAACCAACCAGAGGGAAGGCAATCTTGGATTTAGTCCTAGGTAGGTTGCCCAGGACATAAGAGTGGGATGTAAATGTTGTTCAGCTATTAGGTACCAGTGACTACTCTGCAATCAGATTTTATAGGTAGATGGAAGACTGCCAAAGAGGTCGAACACAGTTGGATTTAACTTCAAAAGAGGAAACTTCTCCAATTGAGAGAACTGCTAAAGAAGAATCTAAAGAGGGGAATCAAGAGTTTAAATCACTTCAAAGTGTTTGGAGATCAAACAACACTATAATAGAGGCACAAATAATATGCATACCACGAGTAAGGAAAGGTAGCACAAAGTCCAGGAAATCACCAGCATGGTTAACAGAGAGAGTCAAAGAAGCTATTAAGGTGAACAAAGCTTCTTTCAAAAAATGAGGACAGGGCCAGGAGCTCGCGCAAGGAAAATGCAAGCAGACCATCAGAGAAGGGAGAAACAGTTTGAAGAGCATATCACTAATGACATCAAAGAACTCTGTAAATAACTCAAAAGAAAGCAAGCAGCTAAGAAAGCAGCTGGACCATTGGACGATAATGGAATTAAAGGAGCACTAAGGGGGGGACAAAAATGAATGCTTTTTGTCACGCTTCTCAGCAAAGGCTAAAGAGCAGATACCTGTCCCTGAGCTTATGTATTTTGGAAGGGAGTTGGAGGAATTAGGGCAGATAATAGTGACAAAAGATGAAATTCCCAATCTTCTTGACAAATTGAAAGCCAGTAAGTCACCCAATCCAGATGGTATCCAACCTGGCATTATCAAAGAACTCAGGCATGAAATCGCTGAGCTTCTTACCAAAATTTTATTTATTTGATTGTTTGTTTATCAATTTATATCCTGCCTTTTTCCTACAAAGGGCTCAAGTCAGCTTACATCATCTCTCCTCCTCCGTCTTATCCCCACAACAACAACCCTGTGAGGTAGGTTGGGCTGAGAGTCTGTGTCTGGCCCAAAGTCACCCAGTTGGCTCCATGGCTGAGTGGGGACTAGAACCCGGATCGCCTGAGTTCCAGTCCCGTGCTCTTAACCACTACACCACACTGGCTCTCAGAAAATATTGAACATGTTCCCAAAATTAGCCTTTGCCATCACAGGATAGGAGAATGGCCAATATAACACCAATTTTTAAAAGGGAACCCAGAGGGAACCTAGGAAATTATAGGTCAGTTAGCTTGACATCTGCTCTGGGTAAACTGATGAAAGGATTATTAAAGATAGCATCAGAGGGACAAGTACTGCTGAAAGGAAATATCAGCATGGCTTCCACAAGGGGAAGTCTTGGCTCACAGGGAACTCACTGGAGTACTTTGAGAGTGTCAATAAGAACGCAGACACTGGTAAACCAGGAGACATTGTTTACTTGGACTTCCAAAATGCTTTTGACAAAGTCCCTCAGCAAAGGCCCCGAGGAAACTAAGTAGTCATGAAATCGTCTTATGGATCACTAACTGATCTCTGACATAGAGAGTGGGAATAAATGGCAACTTCTCCCAATGGAGGGATGTCACCCGTGGAGCTGTGCCTGGTTCTGCATTAGGACCAATGCTTTTCAACCTATTGATCTGGAATTAGGGCCAAGTTTGCTGAGGACATTAAACTTTTTAGGGATGGAAAATGATTGTGAGATGCTCCAAAAGGATCTCTCCGAGCTGGAAGAATGAGCATCAAAATGGCAAATGCAGCTCAATATAAGTAAGTGTACAGTAATGCAAGTTGGGGCAAAAAATATATATCCCAAATTCACATATACACTGATGGGATCTGAACTAGCAGTGACTGAGCCAAAAAGGGATCTTGGCGTAGTGGTGGGCAGCTTGATGAACATGTTGGGCCCGTGCTCAGCTGCTGTGAGAAGACAAATTTCATGCAAGGCATCATCAGGAACTGAAAAGAAAATACAGTTCCCAAAATCATACTTGCCTCGTACAAATCTTTGGTGCAACTGCACTTGGAATAACTGAAAAGGGAGATGTTTGAGTTGGAAAAAGTAAAGAGGAGGGAAACAAAAAAAGATCAAAGGACTGGAGCAGCTCTTCTATGAGGAGCAGCTACAAGAACTGGGATGTTCAGCGTAGGAAAAAAGGTAAAGGGAGGCACGATGGAGGTGTTTAAAATAAAGCACTATATGGAGAAAGTACCGAGGGAGACTTTTTTCTCCCTCTCCCGTACACCTGAGCCTGAGGTCATGCGATGAAGCAGATTGGTGGGAGGTTTAGGACAGATAAAAGGAAGCGTACACACAGCTTACACTTAAACTATGGAATTTCCTGCCCTGAGAAGTGGGGATGGCCGCCAATCTGGTTGGCTTTAAAAACAGATGGGAGTGATTCATGAGGGAGGAGTGGCTACTAGCCTTGCTGGCTCTGTGCCATCTCCTTTGCCTGTGTACACCAGGTGCAGAGGAGCTTGGGCAAGGGAGGTCTCGCGCCCATCTTGCTTGGGGGATCCTGTGGGAGCTGGCCTGCCGCTGTGTGAGCAGCGGGCTGGGCTAGAGAGATCTTTGGTCCGATTCAGCATGGCTTTTCTTATGTTCTTAAAGGGCAACCCAGATGCAACTCTATGAACTGTTTTATTATACTCATTTTGCAACAGCTGCTGCAGAATAGAGCCCGTAGAAGACACCAGCGAGTCCTGAGATGTCAGAGTTTGGGGGAAAGTCTTTCCAGGATGAAACACCATGGTCTTCAAGGAAGCCTTAAGAAACACACAGAAGTTCTCTAGTTGCAGCAATTCAGCTTCACAGTTATCAAAATCTGTATCAGTGGAATACCTCGACTGGGCCAGCCAAAAGGTCACAAGCGTGTGCAAGCTTTTGGGTCAGACTAGATGTCCTGGGAGACCCCTTCTGACTCACTCTGTTTCTATGTTTCTATGCAATCTTCAGACCTCTCCTTCAGTCACTTTGGAGGGAAAGGGAACTGTGTCTGCTTGATTAGATTGTGATGGAATGGGAGAAGGGGTCTGCAGACTTTCAGCATCAAATCAGCTTGTTCCCTTTGCTCCTGCTTTTTTTTTTTTTAATGCTTTGCCTGATTAAGAGATCTGAATAGCTCAAAAGCTTGCACATCTGGGACCTTTCTGTTGAGCCAGTAATGGTATTTATTACACTACGGCAGTGGCAGGTAGTCTTCTTATGGCCATAACTGCAACCATGACTTTTTTGGTGTGGAAGTACAGAACCGAAAGCGGAGCTTGTGGATTGTTCTCTCTCAGCCTTCCCAAACCTTGCACCTTCCAGGTATGTTTGGACTGCAACACCCAGATTTCCCAGTCAATGCCCTTCCGGATGGGTACTCTAGAAGTCGTACTCCAAATGAATCTGAAGGCCACCAGGTAGGAGAAGGCTGCCAGTTCATAGGTCTAACATAGGTACCGTCTTCTGTTAAGCTTTATCCATACAGATGGCTCCATCTAATCCAAAGGAGGATTATTGGAGTCTGTGCTGCAGATAGGCAGCAGCAGTACTGTGTACGGAGAAAATTCAAGACTCAGGCCACAGAAGACAAAGAATGAAAAGAATGCATGTCTGGGCATGGACTAATTTATGTATAACCTAGCATCTGTTTCTGTCTCTGTGCATGCACTTTTATAGGGCCATGTCTCCTAAGGACACCCATTTGTTAAAAGGCATGTAGGAAGAGGAAAATTCTGGAAAACCTGTGGCAGAAAGTTCAAGGCAGGAGGTGAAGCACACATGGGCCAAAAGCCAGTGAGGTTCACTTCAGCAAGTGGCAAGTCACTCTGGGGCCTTCCAGAGATTTGGGGCTCCAGTCCTCCAGTTAGGCTGCCCCCTAACTTCACCTCTGCAGCTAGGTAATTTTAGACCCAGGGCGGAATGGTCTTAGAAGGGCTCATTAGTACGTATTATTTGAGCTAAAAGCACTTCATTTGTCAGCATTGCACCCCCAACTGCCATTCCATGATTTACAACTGCTTGTAGATGCCTTTGTCTTAGAGTAGTTGCCAACCACCATTTAAATCTTAATACTACTCCGAGCATGTGCAGACCTGCATTTCAAGCTCACTGCAAGCACAGTCCCATCATGATCCCAGGACTAAAACAGGGGCTGGGCGGACCTTTCGGGGAGGGAGGCCCTCAGAGGCAGGGCCTCCTGGATTTGGGCCCCCAGGTCCAGCCCCAGTCGCACCACGGAGTGGGATGCCGCAATCAGGAACAGCATCCACACGCAGCTCAGTCCCAGCTCACGACATCCACTCCCACCTGGTCCTCCAGCAGCTTCTCCTGCTGGATTAACTCCTTTATCTCAACAGAGGGGGCGGTGTGGCTCGGGAGCATTGTGATGCGTTCGCCGCGGGGCGTGCCGGGAGTTGTGGTCCAGGGAGCGCCGCTCTAGGATGCTGACGTCACCCCGGCGAGGAGTGGAGTCGACCGTGCCTGTGGAGGCTGGGCGTGCGGCAGAGCATGCGCAGAGAGCCCGTCGGCGCCATTTTTGAAGGCGGAGGCGTCGCAGGTTCAAACCGCTGGGCGGGCCGAGGAGGAAGAGGAGCAGAGGTTGTCGGCGACGGAGGTAGGCATGACGAGCGGTAGGGGGGCTCCTCGCCGTGAGGCGAAAGTGGGAGGTGCGGGGACCAATAATGGCCATGAGGGTTTTCTCTGGAATGCAGTATTTCCTTTCAACTGTTTACTTATTTATTATTTACTAGATTTATATGCGCCCTTTTTCCTTTTTAATGAACTCAAAGCGGCTTGCTTTGTTCTCCTCCTCCTCTAAGTCATTTTGTCACAACAGCCCTGTGAGGTTGGTTGGGTTGAGAGACTTTGACTGGCCCAAAGTGGTAATGTGTAATCATATTATAGTATTACCCGGTGTAATGCAAAATATTTAGTCTTGAATGAACAGTTAATACCGCGGAGTTTTACAAGAGACCTGCTCCCTGGCGGGAGATATAATGAGTGGAACTGGTTTGTTGATCTGGTTCCACAGAGCTGCCCACATTTTGGGACTCTTCGTGTGGGTGCACTTATGGGGACTGTCATATTGAGCACCCATCCTACTAAATTCACCACTGTAGCATTGAACATGACACAGTTTAGCCAGCCAACAATTCAATAGGAACTGGTGTACTTAAGGATATTTGTTTACTATATTTATATTCTAGCTTTTTTCCTTTCAAGGAATGTAAGGGAGCTCACATAAGTTCTTTTTTCCTCAGTCCTAACCTCAGAACAACAACCCTATGAGGTAGGTTGGGCTGAGAGTCAGTGACTGGTCCAAAGCCATCCGGTGAGCTCCATGGCCGAGCAGGACTAAGACCTGCACTCTTAACCGCTCCACCACACTGGCTCTCAATAATTCCCACAACAAACCTGTAAGGCAGAAAATCAAACAGCAGCTCAAGGGCTAACAAATTTATCTGCACTCATTGTCATACTTTTAGCATTTCATTCCCCCCTCCCCCCATCTCACAATTTACCATCCCTCCCGTAGTCTTTAATGTATACATATCTATAGCTTAGGATGACACCACTCATCTAAGTCCACAATGGCTTATGCTGTGATAAATTTGTTAGTCTTTACATTGCTATAAGACTTTGCTACAGCAGACTCACAAGACTACTCTTCTGGAAGTTTTTTTTAACAACATAAGCGCTTTTTAGGTCCCCAGATGCATGAATTTGCGTTCATTTGGGGTAGACAGGCATGTGGTAAGGGCAATGGGAAGACAGTTTGGATGAAGTCCAAGGGAAATGAAACACCAGAAGACTCTTTGTTTTTGCAAGTCTGTCCCTCTGAATCCTGTAAGGTGGGTGAGTATTGTTTTCATTTTGTAGGTGGTACACTTAATTGGGTATAAGACCCATTGAACACAGTAAGATTTACCTGCCTCCCCTAAAATGTAAAATAAAATGCTTAGAATCACTTGTCCAAGGATTTCCTGTTTTATAACTCAGTATCTTAGATTGTACTCCTGTTCATAGGATTGAGTCCCATTCTACTATGTAGGGTTTGCTTCTAAGGGAGCAGACATCAACTTGGGCTGTTAGACATTATTATTATTATAACATTTCTATGCCGCCCTTGCCGAAACCTCGGGGCGGCTTACAACACAATAAAATACATTGAAATACATTAAACAGCATCAGATCGCTTTGCCAGCTGTCGATTCCAGGTCTACATCCAGCATATGATGAATTGAGTGTACTTGATTAGGTGCATAAATGCTTTGGCAGAATTACACAGTCTCCTCCCACCCTGAATTTGTTACTACTGCCCTTAATGCTACAGAAGGTTTTGTGGCACCTCAGAGGTGTAACAGCTGCATTGTGACTTCACATGTTTGAAAAAATGGGCCCTTAACCACAGCAGTTTCAGTCATGGTAAGTAAAGTTTTGTCACCTTAAACTCTTGTGTTACCTTAAAAGCAAACACATTTGTTATGGCATAATCTTTTGAGAGCTACACTCCATTGCTTCAAATACACGAAGTGTTATCCTATGATCCAAATGCACATACATACGTGTGGGTGGAAGTGATGGGAATTTTAGATTCTGAGGTCAAAGGAAACTCAAATGCAGGATATACAATGATAATTATCTTCGCAGTGATCATTCACAAAAGTGCTACTGGATGATAGCACCTATATCCTTGCACTGGAGAGCTGCTTAACATATGTAGTATGATTTTGAAAAATCTGTTCAAGTTGCAGAAGACTGATTAAGCCTTTTGATGAGTTGTCCAAACCTAGGGGAGAAAATCTTCAGTTGGGCAATACTTTTGTTAAGACCAGTCAAAAAGTTAGTGCAAGTATTTGAGTTCTTCAGAACTCTTCATAACTCTACATGATAAAAATAAGAGGCAAGGCATGATGGAAGTAACAGAAAAGTTTGAAAATGAGGCCTGACCTTGTGGCTATGAAATCTGAAGTCTAGGTTTGGCTTCAGAATGGGCATTGCAGACTGAACAAGGCATTGGTAGGTGTTGCAGATATCCAGTTACAGCTGGTGTTCAGAGAAGAAGGAACAATGGCTGATCCTTATTTCTGAAAACATAAAGGTGCACTATCTGTCCCTTCCTCTGGATGGCTAAAATTAATCTTCAACTCTGCTAATATAAAAACTCATATTCCTCTTAGTTCTGTTCATTGTCCTCTTAGTTCTGTTCATTGTCCACTCAGGACTCTTATCAGTTAAACCTAGGTTATACCAGTTGTGTTATTAAAAGTTAAGTGGTAAATATTAACTTTTGAGCAAAATGATCAAACTAGAAGATAGCGTTCATTTTGTAAAGTGTGAAAAATATGGTCAATTGGATTGGGGTGAAAGAACCCTGTATGCATTGAATCTCAGACTGATTAACTCATCTTTCTTGCTTTCTGTCTTACTGTCAGATTTCAGAAACTTGTACAGAGTTTAGGAGGCCATTTGATGGAAGGTGATGTCTTGCTTGATTAAAAACAGCAATGTCTACTCTCCAGAATCAACAGTATCTTCTCTTCTGGCAAGTTGTAGTCTCAACAGTAGCAGTGACTCCAATTCATTCCAGTACAAAGACAAGTTGTATAGGTCTGCATCTCAAGCTTTGGAGGCATATATTGAGGATTTTGATCTCAGTCTTGCATCTTCCAATTTAAGGCCTGGAAAAATCAGTATTACCCAGAGTACCCCTAAAGACTTCAGTTCCTCAAAGGACAGTTTCAGCCACAAATATGGTATGTGTGAGTGTGTTTTTCTCTCTGTCTAATGTGTGACAGGTAGAGCTTTTGACTAGATTAAGTAGTGCTGCAGTGAGCACACAGTGCTTTTGGCACTGCTTGTTTCATTTTGCATTCCTTCTGTGGTGTTGCTTATGAGGTTTTAAGAATGAGCTATGTAGTAGGTTTAAGTTTGTATATAGGATGTAAGTGAAACCTATGTTAAGTGATAACTAACATAATAAACTTAATCACAGCATAAGATTTGGGGTTAATCTTGCAGCAACTAATGACAGCATTTTCACACATCCATGTCAAATGATTAGCATGATGTGCATAATAAGAGTGCAAATAACCAGTTTGCATACATTTTGTATGTTTTGGCTCAAGCAATGGAAGTTCTTGAGCACATCACATGCTAATACTTAGAGAATGTGGCTTTTGTTTTTTAGGATCATTCTGCACACAGGAGGATGGCACTAGTGTAGATGTTCTATCAGAATGGCCAAGCTTTGTAAATTACTGGTCACACAAGTGACTGAGCCACATGATCAGTATAAAAAGAAAGTTCTGAAAAGAATAAATTTGGTTGTCTTTAATATGTCAGGTGATTCCTTCTTGTTTTTTGCTGCAACAATTAACAGATACAGACTAACATGGAAAATGAGCAATGTAAGGTCTGAGGAGAATGAATTCAGTACACAGATTGTCTAAATGTAGAGATGAGGATGCTTGCATGTCCTGCGCATACATTCCTCACAGAGGTAGCTTTCTGAAGTTGTGTGACTATTTTTATTGAACATTACTGTATTTGCCAAGCAGGCAGATCATGTGAATGTGTATTTGTGAGGGTTTGTAAGCGCGATGGAACACCTGAGCCAGCTGACAAAAAGTCTAAACCAGCTCTGAGATGTTTCCTCCTGTTTTTATTAAATTACCTGGGGTACCCGAGAGTACAGCTACCCGTACATTCTATATAATACGATTTGTAAATCTATGGTCTACCAGGTCACTGTTATTCATGTCCCACAGTCAAACAGTGAATGTAGTTTGCTAGCTCTTAAAACAGTATCTGCAGTTGTTACCTTGATTATATGAAATAATTTCATATTATAATTGGTTTCATTATACTTACTTGCTTCTTGATGAAGGCTAAAATATTCAGGAATCCAGCAAGGTTTTAGGCCAGTGGAAATGTCTCACAAGCCCAATGGCTCCCTAAATTTATGCTTTTAGTTACTTATTTTCTATACCACCCAATGGCTGAGGCTCTCTATAAACCTTCTATAACACTCTTTATTTAGGGTTGGAAAAATCCAGAGTGACTGTGGCTATGCACACATACCTTGGAGTAAGCCCCACTAAAGTTAGACTTCTATCACAATAAATTTGTATGGGATTGTGTTTTGAGAGATTGAGGGTAAAGTTATTTGTGTATATACTTACAGTTGTTCTAGTTGAATGTAATGGGTTTCACTCCTACATTCATTCATGAAATTTGTATGCCGTCCAATTACCAACGTCTCTGGATGGCTAACAGCATAAATAAATTGACGACCCACTCTGGCTGCAAATACAATATTAAAATTCAATATTAAAACATATTAAAATATTGATTAAATAAAAAGATCTTAACCTGGCGCCGAAAAACATATAATGATGGCACCAGGCGGACCTCTCTGGGGAGCGCATTCCACAGTTGGGGCACCACCGCAGAGAAGGCCCTCCTCCGGATACTCTGTTTCCTAACTTCTTTCACAGATGGTTCCTGGAGGAGGGCTTCTGCTGCTGATCTCAGGGGGCGGGAGGGCAAATAGGGAAAAAGGCGTTCCTTAAGGTATCCTGGTCCCAAGCCATTTAGGGCTTTATAGGTAATAACCAGCACCTTGAATTGAGCCCAGACTTCGATGGGAAGCCAGTGAAGCTGGTAGAGGACTGGGGTTATGTGAGAATAACATCCAGTCCCCGACAGCATCCCGGCAGCTCTATTTTGAACCATCTGAAGTATCCAGACTGTCTTCAAGGGCA